GGAGCCATGGTTTCTAAACTGAGCCAACTGCAGACGGAGCTCCTGGCCGCCCTGCTTGAGTCGGGCCTGAGCAAAGAGGCGCTGATCCAGGCCTTGGGTGAGCCGGCGCCCTACCTGCTGGCCGGAGATGGCCCCCTGGACAAGGGGGAGTCCTGTGGCGGTGGTGGGAGAGGGGAGCTGGCCGAGCTGCCCAACGGACTGGGGGAGACGAGGGGCTCCGAGGAAGAGACGGACGACGATGGGGAAGACTTCACGCCACCAATCCTCAAAGAGCTGGAGAACCTCAGCCCGGAGGAGGCAGCCCACCAGAAAGCCGTGGTGGAGACCCTGCTGCAGTAAGGACCCCTCTCCTGTCCCCAGCTCCCAAGGAGCCTGGAGGGGCCCACCCTCGGCTTCTGACCAGCCTTTCCCAGTCCAGAGTCCCATGGCTGTGGCCTTTAGCCTGGCTGTTGGTTAAGGGGGACAAGGCCCATTGGAGCTTGGAGGGGGGGGTGGTCCCGGCTCGGGAATTGGAGCCTCCAGCCCCCAACCTGGTCCTCTGAGTCCCCACGAGCCAAGGCTCTCAGCCCAGCACTTCAGAAGTGGGGCCTTCCTCCTGGGGAGCTCCAAGATGGGGACAAAGCGGGAAAGTCCACGATTCAAGTGGCCGGACAACCAGAGGGCAGGGGGAGTTTATAGCCACCATCCCTATTTCCACTCCCCGAGCCCTACCTTCCCTGCCAAGCACCAGGTGCACCACTGGGAAGTGAGAGCTGGGCTTTCGGGGGCTTCCCTGGCCTCCCCGGAACTCAAACATTCGGCCAGGAGGGCCCAGTCTTTCTTACCTGAGGGAAATGGAGCCTCAAGGAAGGAGCTGCTCCCCTTTCCAGCACAGCCTCAGGCCCCCCACCTCTCCAGCAGGTGCAGTTAGAGGCCTCCCCACTCCGTACCCCCACCCACTGGCTGGCTCCCCATATCCCAGAGCGCTGGGTGGGTCTGAGCCTGATGCCTCCCCTCTCCTCAGCAGAGTTGACCTGGTTACTAATTACCCACAGGCTTTATTATTTCTCTTTTGTTTTATAAATTTATACATGGCAAAAGGCTCTGATAAGGCCTGTGATCATTAACTTGTAGGGCTGGTGGCCTGGGGAGGCCTGAGCCAACCAATTTCTCACCTAGCGGGCTGGGGGATGGGGAGGGTAAAGGTGAGGGGAAGGGGGTCTGGGGGCTTCAAGCACTGCCCCTCCCCTAAGCTCTGTAACCTCCATCCTAACAGCCGGGTGGGCGCTGTGCTAAAGTTTCACATGTGTGATTTCTGGCAACACTGAGATGAACTCTGGAGGCAGCTATGAATAACTGCTTCACAGATGAGGGAAATGAGAGGGGAAGTAGCTTGATGAAGGCCACCCAACTGGGACTCCACACCCACTCTCTTTGGTGCCCTCTGCCTCCATGACTGGGGGCCAGGGGCCAGCTGGGGGTGGGTTGGGGAGACTGAGAAAGAGTCCCAGAGACCATCTCTTTTCTGTCCAAGGTCCTGATCCCAGCTTGGGGTGTGGGGAAGGCTGGATCCCTGCCACAGGGAGCCTTCAGGGTCTGCCAGGCCTCGTGAGGGCCTAGGCAGGGGACAGGGGAGCAGCCAGGGCCCCCTGACTTGGCAGGAAGAGGAGGGCAAAGGGCCTCCGTCTGCAGGGGAGGGGCAAAGAGTCAGGCATCGCCAGACCCAGGGCAAGGGCAGCCCTGACAGGGTGGGGCTGGGCCAGACCTGCTCAGGGCCCCAGATGGGATTGGGGGCTTTCCGGGGGAGTGGGGGCAGGGGGTACCAAAGGCCTTACCTGGCTGGGTGGGGCCTCTTGACCAGCAGCCCCTTTGGTGGGATGGTGGGTGGAGGGGAAGGCTTGATCCACAGCACTTGAGCGGGGAACAGGGGTCAAAGTGCTCCCTGGGGACCAGCAGAGACCTGGAAGCTGAGGGAGAGAGGGGAGGCATGGAGGAAGAGACAGGATGTGGGTAGAGAGGGGCCTGGAGAAGCAGAGCAGAGCCAAGAAGCCGGGAGGGGAGAGGGGCTCACAGGCAGCTGGGAGAAGGGGCTGGGGAGAGAGTGAGGTGCCCCAAGCTGAGAGAAGGCTGGAGTGCTTCCCTCCCGCCCCGATTGGGTTTTCTTTAATGCTAACAGCATGCTATTTACTTTCCATTTAAATTTGAGATGTTGCTATAAATTATCAACCAGCTCCTTGTTCCTGCGGAGTTTATAACTAACTACCTGGGTTACTTATTGTTCAGGTAACAAAAGGGATCCGAAAACGCCCCGAAGGGAAAAAGTGGGGCCTCGAGCCCCAGGGCACAGGCTGGAGAGGGTAGGGGACCCCTGATGAAGCCCAGGCGGGCTAGAAAGGATGGTGAAGAGGCAGGACTTCTCACACAAACTAAATGTGACCAAGTGTGACCTTGGGCTAATGTTTCTTCCTCCTCCTGCCTCGGTTTCCCCACCTCAACAATGAATAAAATTCAAACTCCCAGCCTTGGTTTCCTGACCTCTTTCTGAGGGACCTCTCTCTCTTCCTCACTTCCTTTCAGTTACACTGACTTTGCTGATTCCCACCTCAGGGCCTTTGCATGCACTGTGCCTTCTGCCTAGAACTCTTCTTCCAGATCTTCCCGGGGCCAATTCCTTCTCCTTTTTGCTCAAATATCACCTCCTCAGGGAGGTCCTCCCTGACCACCCCATCTAAATAAAGGTAGGCCCCACCCCAGTCACTCCCTCTTCCGTGACTTTCATTAATTTTCACCTGTCCCTTATCATTACCTTATTTGTCTGTCTGTTTTCTATCTCCTGCCATGAGAACAGAAGTTTTTCCAGGGCAGGGTCTTGTTCACCACTTATACCCCTGATTAACAGCCCAGCAGCTGACACGCAGCAAGAATGAATGAGTGACTAGGCTTCTCTGAGCCGCTGGGGACATCTGCTGCTCTGGCTAAGGGAGGCTCCTTCCTGAGTGTCCTCCTAGGTCCTTCCGTCCCTGAGCAGCTCACACTTCAACCTTGAGGGTCTCTGGTCCTCTCCATCAGGCAGCACCAAGGCACTGAGACCCAGGAAGACAGTGGCTAGCGAGTCAGTCTGACACCCCTGACTGAGACCAGCCTGCCTGGGCTCAAATCCCAGCTCTGCCCCATTCTAGCTCCAGCAGGTAATTTTACTTTTCTGAGCCCTAGGTCCTCTGCCAGGTGGAGCTGATAATAATGCTTACCCACAGGGTTAAATAGCACATAAGTGCAACAGACGATTGCTATTATTAGTGGTCTCATTTTACACGAAGGGCTTATGAATGCATTGAACTTATTTTCTCCTCCTGACAGCCGATGAAATATTATTAGCCTCATATCACAGTGGAGGAAACTGAGGCACACAGAGATTAAGCAACTTCCCAGGGCTACCTGGAGACTGAGTGGCAGAGCTGGGATTCACACTGAGAACTCGGCTCACCCTCCAGTCAAGTGGCCCTTCAGGCTGGTCTCCCAGCTCTGTGACCTTGGACCCACTTGAAACCCCAGGGACCAGTGAGCAAAAGACCCAAAGCCTTGAACTTCTGGTTGACCCCAGGACTGGCAGAGGCAGGAGGAGGGAGATGTGGGCAGACTTTTCACCTCTCCCAGGCCCTCTTCCTTCAGCTGTGGGGCTGGGAGTTCCCAGGACTACATCGTATTGATGATGACGACAATATTTTTCCACATACGGAGCTCTTACTGTGTGCCAGGCCCTGACCTCAGCGTTTTAATCCTAGTAGAAACTCATTCAGTTCTCCCAACGGCCCTGGGAGGTAGGCATGGATTTACCGTCGTGTTATAGGGGAGATGTGGGGCATCTGCACATCAGGTGCCAGGTCGCAGCAGTGGGATTTGAACCCAGGTTGGTTTCACTCTCAAATCCGTTAGAGTGAAAGCAGGAGATGCCTGGAGACCTGGCCCCTTAGTTCTGAGTTGGGGAAACTGAAAAGAGCCACGTCCTTGGTAGAGACTCTGCGTGTGCGTGCGTGCGCGCGTGTGTATGTGTGTGTGAGTGGTTGGGGGTGGGTGGGAGGAAGAGAGCAGAAAACAGAGAAACACAGAGACAGAAGGAGAAAAGAGAGATGGAGAGAAACAAAGACAGACTCATATGGGGTCATATGGACAAGGACAGATAGTAAGTCTTTAGTCTGAGCCAGGAGGGGCCCTGTTGAGAGGAAGATCGGGCTCATTCTCTCTGGAGAAGAGAGACAGGGAGGGAGGGGCACTCAGGAGGGTGATGACTGCCTCTGGGGCGGGGGTGGGGTGGGGGGTGGGGAGGCCATTGGGCAGCCCAGCCCCAGAATCAGATAAACATGTTTGCCACAGAGCACAAGGCTGGACTTTGTCCTGCCCTTCCCTCCTAGCTCTGACTGGTACTTGGAGAGTCGGGGAGGTGGAGCAGAGAGGCCCCTAGGAGCCCCTGAAAGCAGGGAGATGCAGCTCAGGGAGAGGTCCGGGGGGGTCTTGGCAAAGTGAGATATTCCCAAGTCCCAGCTAGGTCATTTTGGACAAGGGCTCACCTTTCTGAGCCTCAGTCGTCTCAACTGTGAAATGGGCATACGAGCAGTACCTGCTTCCTAGGGTTATTGTTAAGATTTAAATGACCACCTCTTCACCGTAAATACTCGAGAACAGAATTCCCACAGCTATCATTTTTATACAAATGGGACTTTGCTGGACTGACTGCTGATTATTTTAACTGTCTCTGTCCACACCTTCCCTTCCTCCCTGCCTGGATAGGAACCGCTAATTAAAAAAAGGAGGAAGTCAGAGGGCCAAAGCCGACGAAAGGCTCTGTGGCCTCCTGTCTCAGAAGAGCATTGTCAAGGGGGCTGGCGAGGCTGGTTCTTTGAGAAAGGAGAGAAGGAAGGGCCGGGGAAAAGGCAGTGCGGGTTGGCTTTAGAGCACCAGGGAGCTTCTTTGCTTTTAGTTCAGTTTTTTAGAATTCAGTTGAAAACATTATATATGTATACGTAGTATGATACTATATTATGTAATTTACTAAGTACAGAAGAGCAACAGAAAAACGTCCCTCTCACCTCTCACCCGCTCCCTGGCACCCAGTCAGCATCTCCAGGTCACTCTGTGTCCTTCTGGTATTTCATGTGAACCTAAGCAAATATGTGGAAATCTTTTCTTATCCCACCTGAAATTTTACATAAACAGCACAGCAGACCTATCAGACAAACTGTTCCATCAGGGCTTATCCAGAACTTTCTCAGTGGGTTTTTACAGCTGCTTTGTACGGAGGCACCGCAATTTAGTTAATCAGCATCCTTCTGCTGGACACTTAGGTTGTTTCCACTCTTCGGCTGTGGCAAGTGACATGCTGATGAATTGCCTCCTGCACACGCCATCTGTCACACGTGCCAGCATGGGAGGGCTCCCAGTCTAGAAACCAACTGCTGCATCAAGGTGGTGGGAACACAGGCCCTGGGATCTCACAGACCTGCGTTCAAATCCCGGTTCTGCCTGTTTCAGCACGGTTGTACCTGACACAGTTGTAACAGAAGCCCAGGAGAGGGGGAAGGGAAGAGAGGAGGGTTGAGCCAGAGCAGGAGAGGGAGGGAGAGGAGAATTTATATCGTACAGGCAACCTGACCCCTTCCATTACCCCACAGTGAGCAGAGGACCATATGGAGTAGGAACCACAGGTGGCCTCGGTCCCTTGAATCCCTCTAGTGAGAGAACTTCAGCTCACAGAGTGGGATTCCATGCTCAACAACAAGGCCTCTGAATGCCAGCCCACAACCCCTTCCCCTAGGACTCTGGAGAGACTGGCCACCTGCCTCGTGCTGTGGAAAGACTGGTTACACCACCATCCAGGGTTCAGTGCAGATTTTCAGGAGGCATTTTGACCCTGTGTGATTTTTACACGATAGGCTGACTCAGAGCCGAATCCCTTTATTTGGGATTCTGCTGAGCTGGTCCTGTGACCTTGGGCAAGAGATACAAGTGACAAAGGTGCTCTTAGCCTCAGAGGCCCTGGCTGTAAAGTGGCAGAATCATGTTTCTCTTCTTGTTTTCAGACCCAATCTCTTTTCCAGTTGGTCTCTCTCATCCATCCAACCAACCGTCTATATACCCAACCACCACCTGCCACCCCATTTATCCATCTATCCATCCATCCATCCTCTCATCCAACATCAGCCCTTTACCAATCCGTCTATTCATCCATCCTCTCATCCACCATCAACCCATTACCAAGTCATCCATCCATCCATCCATTCATCTCTACACTCATTCATTCATGTACTCATCAAGGGCATACTCTATGTCAGGCCTATTTTGGGTGCTTAGTACCAGACAGTTCCTGCCCTCAAGGTGTTTACAGTCTCTCACAGTGGATAAGACACAGCCACAAATGACCTTTTTAGGTAGAATGAGGGGAATATCTTTAAAGGAGGCTCAGAGGTGAGGTCCCTCCCCATCTGGCTTGTGTAGCTTCTGGTGGGAGTCTGTTCATGTCAACTTCTGTGTCCATGTGTCTGTCTAAGTCTTCATCTGTTCCCATGTCTGTGTGGGATTGTTTGGGGCCTGTGATCTCATGTCTGCCATGTGTATGTGTCTACAAGTCTCTGTCCCCATGTCCTTGTGTCCTGATGCGAGTGTCCATACCTCCTTGTCCCTGAGTCAGGGTGCAGGCCGCCAGCTCCACGCCTGCTTCCACCCACAATCCCCACCCCCAGAGTGGACAGGGCTTCTGGCCCGCAGCACCGCCAGCCCTGGCTGAGCAGGCCCTGTCCTTGCCCTCCTCCCAGGGAGGACCCGTGGCGCGTGGCGAAGATGGTCAAGTCCTACCTGCAGCAGCACAACATCCCGCAGCGGGAGGTGGTCGACACCACGGGCCTCAACCAGTCCCACCTGTCCCAGCACCTCAACAAGGGCACCCCCATGAAGACACAGAAGCGAGCCGCCCTGTACACCTGGTACGTCCGCAAGCAGCGAGAGGTGGCCCAGCGTAAGTAATGACTGACTGCAGCCCCGACTTCTGGGCAGGGCCTGGGACGCCCTGCAGCGCGAGGGTCGGGGTGGGGAGCCTCGCCAGCTGGAGCTCAGACAGGCAGACTGAGCGGAAGTCGGCAGGATGCAACCAGCATTTATTCCCCTATTCTGCACGAGGCACTCTGCAGGAGGGGAGGAGGGTTGGTCTTGGGCATCCAAAGAGGGATGAACTGGGTCCCTGCCTCCTAAGAGCTCCCTGTGTAGAGGGGAAGTAGGAGAAAAATATCATTTTAATATGATGAGACACGTATTACAATGTGATAACAACAACCACAAAAGCTAGTGTTTATGGACTTCTCGCCATGTGCTGGCCCGGGTGGGCAGAGCACTACAGATAGCATTTCCAAGCCTTGAGCCGGTGGGGGAGGAGAGAATAATCTCTTCTTCCTCAGGAAGGTGGGGGCATTAGGAAGAATCGCGCTAGAAGTATGATCTTTTGACTAAGTCTTAAAGTGTGAGTTGAATTTTGACCTATGAAGATGCAGGGAAGGGTGATTCAGGCAGAAGGAACAGCATGAGTAAAGGCTCAGAGGCAAGGAGTATGCTCAGGGAATCCTCCATTGCAAACCCGGGAAAACCTTATTTCTAAATTTTTTATTCCTACATTATTATTTAGGGAATGGGTGGATTTTACATCTCAAGCCTCACACCCCACAAAATCCCAGGTGCACTTTCATACTTTTAAGCCTAAGTGTAAAAAAATGCTTTTGATGTTTCTTTTATTAATTATCCAGTTTTTTTAAGGCAATACACACTTGGTTTAAAAGTGCTTAAAACTGGAAGAAAATAAAGATTTTTACGATAAAAATTAGATGTCCTTCTCCTAAAGCAGCCACTGGCATTCTCAGTCCCATATGTATCCTTGCAGAGATATTGTGTGAATATACTAACTATATATGTATACATATTCCCGCCACCTCTCGCTCTTTGAAGGCTTGCTTGCTGTTCTGTTATTTGGAGTTGCCGCTAAATGACCCCTTTACCAAAGGACCAACTGAGAAAGTGGCTGGGTCTCCTCTCCTGGCTAATAGTTGCACTTTAAGCTTGACTTTCAAGTCTGGAATGTTGAAAATAGCTCTGAATCAAACTCAGGAGATATGGTTCAAGTTTCTGCTCTACCGTGTGACACTGGAAAAATATTTAACCTCCCTGAGCCTCAGTTTCTTCATCTGCAGAATGGAGTGGTATATGTGTCAAACACGGACAAATGCTGATGCTTACCTGCAGCCTTGTGTTGAGAAGGATTGTGAGATGATATTGTGGCTCAGCAGAAAAGTGTGCAGGGGTTGATCAGTGATGTCTGCCTTGGACACAGGTTAAGAAAGTGGTGGCGCGTGTGCTGTGTGTTTGTCACTGCTGGATTAGATATTTCTAAGTTCCAGCTGTAAGCTCCTTTGGCTCAGCACCCTAGGGGTGAGAAAGAATCAGAGGCACGGTCAGGTGAGCTGATGTGGGAAGGTGTGATTGGCCAGCGTCCTGCTCATGGCTTTCTGTGCCTACAGAGTTCACCCACGCTGGGCAGGGTGGGCTGATTGAAGAGCCCACAGGTGATGAGCTACCAACCAAGAAAGGGCGGAGAAATCGTTTCAAATGGGGCCCAGCATCCCAGCAGATCCTGTTCCAGGCCTATGAGAGGCAGAAGAACCCCAGCAAGGAGGAGAGAGAGGCATTGGTGGAGGAATGCAATAGGTAGTATGGCTTGTGGTCAGCAGGCCTGGGGAGAGGCTGGGAAGGGGGAGGCTCTGGGTCCTGAGGGACATGGCTGCTGTTGGCCCAGGAGTTCTCAACTCCCGCTCAGTGTCTAAAACCTCCTGGTACCCACTCCCCCACCACCCTGAGCAACCTTTGAGTGGCTGCTAGTCTCACTCATCCTTTCTATAACCTATACGTACTGTGCTCACTTTATGATTGAAAAGACTAAGAGAGGCTAAGTCACTTGCTCAAGGTCACACCACAGCCTGGATTGGAACCTAAATACTCAGGTAGTGCCCTACTTCTGAGAACCCTCCCCAGACCCCAGGAGAGGGTTCTTCTGCACCCGCCCTGGAGGCTCACGGGTGGTCATTCCTGCAGGGCGGAGTGCATCCAAAGAGGGGTGTCACCATCGCAGGCACAGGGGCTGGGCTCCAACCTTGTCACGGAGGTGCGTGTCTACAACTGGTTTGCCAATCGGCGCAAGGAAGAAGCCTTTCGGCACAAGCTGGCCATGGACACATACAGTGGGCCGCCCCCCGGGCCAGGCCCGGGCTCCACGCTCCCTGCCCACAGCTCCCCCGGCCTGCCCCCACCCGCCCTCTCCCCCAGTAAGGTCCACGGTGAGTGCCTTGCGGGCAAGGGTATTAGGACAGTGGGCAGAGGGAATATGGGGGTAGGTGGGAGAGTCGGGGGGCCCCACCCCAGTGGCAGCAGCCACCCAAACCTCTCAACACTTCAGTAGGGCTCCACTCTATTCTATCTGCATTACTTTCTGGTCTCCTCTCCGCTCCACTGACCACTCAACTTCACTCATGCCATTGACTCCAACTCTGGTTGATTGCAATTCAATTCATTCCAGATCAAATCAACTCAATTCATTTCAGTTCAATTCAATCCAATTCATTATAATCTAATTTGGTTCCTTTAAATTTGGTACAGTTTGATCCAGTCCATTCCCAATCGATTCAGCTTAACTAAGTGTATTTCAAGGAAATTTGGCTGGCTAATTTTGTAGAGCTCAGTTCAATTCAATTCAACTCAATCAAGCTCAATTCAGTTCAGGTTTGATTCAACTAGCTTCAGTTTCATTCAACTAATTCCAATTCTACTCAACTCAGTTCGCTGCGGTTTCATCAGCCTCTGTTCAGTTTGGTTCAGTTGCCTTTAAGCACCTAGGGCACTAACGAGTCAGGTACAGCACTAGGCAGTGGGGGCCACAGAGCTCATTAAACACAGCCCTTGTGTTCAAGGATCTGGAGGCAGCCAGCGCAGGGCCTGGCGGGAAGTGGATGCTCAAGCAAAGTTCGCTGGCTGCATGAAGAGAGATGGGACAAGGGGCCTTCGCAAACCTATGCAGTGTGGAGCGATGGGGGCCCTGGAGGCGGGTAGGCAAGTGGAGTGCTGAGGCTGGACACTGCTTCCACTGCAGGTGTGCGCTATGGACAGTCTGCAACCAGTGAGGGGGCAGAAGTGCCCTCAAGCAGTGGCGGTCCCTTGGTGACAGTGTCTGCACCCTTGCACCAAGTGTCCCCCACAGGCCTGGAGCCGAGTCACAGTCTGCTGAGCACAGAAGCCAAGCTGGTGAGTGTCTCCTCCATCCCCATTGTGGGGGAGACCTTTCTAACCCCACCTCCCCTTGGCTGGGAGATTCTGGAGCAGTCTCCAGGGAGGCAGGGTGGGGCCTCAGCCTGACGCAGTTCGGCTTCCCCTCCAAGGTCTCAGCCGCTGGGGGCCCCCTGCCCCCTGTCAGCACTCTGACGGCACTGCACAGCTTGGAGCAGACATCCCCAGGCCTTAACCAGCAGCCCCAGAACCTCATCATGGCCTCACTCCCCGGGGTCATGGCCATCGGGCCTGGTGAGCCGGCCTCCCTGGGCCCCACGTTCACCAACACAGGCGCCTCCACCCTGGTCATTGGTAAGCTGGTGGGGGTGGGAGAGCACCTGGGAGAGGGGCTCATGGGGCTCCCATGGAATACAGGAACTGTTAGAGCCCCAGGACTCATTCATTTGTGTATTTACTGAGTGCCCACCCCGTGCTCCATCAGCAATACACACAGGAACCAAACAGTCCAAAATCTCAGAGGCCCAACTGGGGTGGAAGACAGCAAGTGTAATACATAAATTATACACAGAGCGCCTTAGAAGGTAGACAGCTATGGGAAAACAGAGCGGTGAGGAGGACTGACGTTTTCTAGGTTGTAGGTATTTCTTTTTTTTTTTTTTAAGTCCAGGAAGACTTTTATTTGTGGGAATTATCATGCAGAAGCTCAATATATATGACACATAGGGAGCTGCTAGGAGAGGGGTACAGAGTTAACCCCAGGGCCTTTGCACTGCTGTGGAATCCCTCCAGGGAATCTAGTTTGACACACCCCCTGCCCAGAGAAGGGGAGTTGCTTGCCAGGGCCATGTAGGTTAGTGACAGTTCCTAGTGCAAGGGTGTTTCCCGACTGCCTTGTCCCTCCCCCCAGCACACTGGCTCTAGGAAGGAGGGAGGGTGCCCTCAGTGGGTTTGGGCTGGGTCCGGGGAGGCCACAGTGGTGGCAGACCTGGCTGACTCCCTGCCCCTCTCGCTCCAGGCCTGGCCTCCACTCAGGCCCAGAGCGTGCCGGTCATCAACAGCATGGGCAGCAGCCTGACCACCCTGCAACCAGTCCAGTTCTCGCAGCCCCTGCACCCGTCCTACCAGCAGCCGCTCATGCCCTCGGTGCAGAGCCATGTGGCCCAGAGCCCCTTCATGGCCACCATGGCCCAGCTACAGAGCCCCCACGGTAAGCGCCCCCTGGCCCCACGCTGGGGGAGGTGGTGGGAGAGGTTGGCTTAAGGGAAGGGGGCGGCTTAGCAGATGTGGCCTGCGTGTCTGTCTGGTACAAGTGCGAGTGCTTCTCTGACGGGGGGCTCTCCAGGGGCCCAGGCGAGTGTCTGTGGGCCAGAACACGTTTCACTGTGTGAATGTGCGTGGCCATGTGTGTGCGCACGTGGGTTTGGGGGAGTGGATGTGTGCCCTTGGGGCCATATGTATTTCAGGGTTCACTGTTGCTCAGCCTTTAGAAAGGTAACATGGTGGTCATAGCATGAATTACACAATGCTCCCAGCAGGGTTGGGGCAACACCCTGTCATCAAACACCACGATTCCTGCATCAAAAGGCAGAATTCCACGAAGTAGACTAATAAAGACTCACATAGCCTCACATCACGTTCAGGTCAGATTTTGCCACCAAGTGAGCTTTAGCGCCAACCTGACAAAAACCTGTTGGCTTTCAGACCTTTTTGGAATTTGGAATCATGAACAAGGGATCGTGGACCTGAGTATCTGTGGCTAAGAGCATCATTTATGTGTGCACATGGGTAGTTGTGTTTTTATCTGGGTCCACGTGAGACTATGCAGTTTATGTTGCTTTTTCTGCTGGCGTCTGTTTCTGTGGGGCTGGGCACCGCCGGTGAAAGGCTGGGTTACACTGCGGCGAGGGGTCCTCGAGGCGGAGATGTGCTGCCCGCCTCACCTCCTAACAGAGGCACCGGCCTTTCCCTCCAAGGCTGGTACTTGGTACAGCAGTATCTGTGCCTCCCGGTCCCTTTCACCCCTGTTGTCTCCAGGTGATGGGAGGACCTGGGTTTGGGTTCCTGGTCTCCCCCAGGCTACTCATCACCGAGACAGGCGGAGCAGCCCCCGTAGCTGGGGAAAGCATCCAACCCCTCCATCTGGAGCTCCCAGTTTTGGAAATTAGCCCTGAGTCCCCAACATCCCACTGGGTGTTCACCAGGCCCACACTCCCCTTACCCCCGAGACCCCCTCCCCTGCCTTGAGGCCCTCCGGGGAGGGGTCCACCCCAGCCCAGGTGCCATGTGTGCATCCTCCTCTCTTCTCCCTCCTGGCCAGCCCTCTACAGCCACAAGCCAGAGGTGGCCCAGTACACCCACACAGGCCTGCTTCCGCAGACCATGCTCATCACCGACACCACCAACCTGAGCGCCCTGGCCAGCCTCACACCCACCAAGCAGGTAAGGCCCCGACCTGCCTCGGCCCCTCCTGGGCCCAGCCCCAGCACACACCCTGGGGGCTCAGGAGGCCGCTGTTCCTCCAGGTCTTTACCTCAGATGCTGAGGCTTCCAGCGAGTCCGGGCTTCACACGCCGGCATCTCAGGCCACCACCATCCACATCCCAAGCCAGGACCCTGCTGGCATCCAGCACCTGCAGCCCACCCATCGGCTCAGTGCCAGCCCCACCGGTGAGCAGCCTTTCCCTGCCCCCTTCCTTGCTGCTTCCACAGCTGGGGAGGAAGCTGTGGGCAGCAGACGGGTGTAAATGGAGGGGCACCTGCACTCCCCCAGAGTGAGCCCGGGTGGATGGGAAACCACAGGAAACGGGCCTATCTCACAGGAACATCTATTAACTCAGTCAAGGAAAAAAACCGGAAGAGGCAGTAAAGGGCAATCAGGAGGTGAGAACTGGGCTGGCTGTGGGCCAGAAGTGACTCAGGGATGTGCTGCCTTGGCTCACGGCTTAGCATTTTTTGAACTCCTTGCCAACAGTTAAAAATTAAGAGTTTTCACAGATTTCTGACTTCTCTTGGAAAATCGGAAGGACTCATGCTCCCACATAGCAACCACAGAGTGTGGGCTCTCCAGCCCACCACGTCCCACCCAACCCGCACCTTTCCACCCCGACGCCCCGAGTCTGCAGCCCCCATGTCACAGTGAAGAGCAGGCACTCTGGAATCAGGCTGCCAGGCTCTGAGGCCTGGAGCGGCCGCTTGCTGAGTGTCACTCTGGGCAAGTTACTCCCCTGTGAGCCTCAGGCCTTGCATCCAGCCCTAGTGGCTGCAGGGACAGTCACCGAGGGCTCCATGGCCCAGGCTCCACGCTCTGCCCTTGAGGTGTGTGTCATCATCCCCATTCTGCAGATGAGAAAGCACTCAAGGAGAGGGCCTTGGCTGTGCCCCCGACAGCTACTAGGTAATGGGGCCGGGACTTGAACCCAGGCTGCTTCAAACTCAAAGCTCATTCTCTCAACCGTCTGAATCAGTCAGGTTCTCCTGAGACGCAGAACCAGTAAGAACATGTACACACACACACACACACACTCATACATGTATTGAAGGAAATGGCTCACACGACTGGCAAGTCTGAAAGCTGCAGGGCAGGGTAGGAGTTAATACTGCAGTCCTGAGGCAGAATTCCTTCCCTGGGAAACCTTAGCTTTTGCTCTTAAGGCCTTGAACTGCTTGGACAAGGCCCAGATACATTATTGAGGGAAATACCCTTTGCTTAACATCAACTGACGCAGGTGGTAACCACATCTACAAAACCCTTCACAGCAACACTTGGATTGGCATTTGGCTAAGTGACTGGGTACCAAACACCAGCCAAGGTGACACATAAAACTCACCACCACTGTCTCACCAAGGCTTTTCTGATGTTTCCACTAAAACGTGCTGAGGCCACTTCCTGGGAGGCCCTGGAACCTGGCTGGGGGTTAACAAGGCCTGAGGGTAGAGGTTTGACTTTGGGGTTCTGGCTACCTGCTAAGACTCAGGAGGAGGCGAGGCCCCATGTTCCCATCCTGAGTACCCTGTGGGTCCGGAGGGGTCAGGCTGGCCTTGGTGTGCAATCCAACAGCTTCACCTGCCTCTGCAGTGTCCTCCAGCAGCCTGGTGCTGTACCAGAGCTCCGACTCCACCAACGGCCACAGCCACCTGCTGCCGTCCAACCACAGCGTCATCGAGACCTTCATCTCCACGCAGATGGCCTCTTCTTCCCAGTAACCATGGCAACCGCCTCCCATGGACTGGGCCCTGGAGCCTCCACAGCCTGCTTGAGGGGTGATGAGAACATCTGAGCCTGCAAAACTTCCGCTGTCACGGGGCTGCTGCTCTCCCCTGGAAAACGGTGCCTCGGTCCCCACCCTGCTCTGCCAGCATCAGAGATGGGGATTCTGAGGTGCCCCAACCCGAAGAAGGCTGCTTCAGTGCACAAGAGGGGACTGTGGAGAGCTGGGAAGCAGTTTGTTCCCAGTGCGACACGGTAGGGACTGTCCCTGACGCTCAGGGTACATCTTATCACTTGGAACAGAAAGGGGGCAGCCTTTGGACTCTGGTACCCCAAGGCTGGGCCTGTGAAGAGCCCTGGTATCCTGAAGGAAATTGCCAGCCACACTTCTCAGGACACAAGGGACAGAGGTCATGGATCAACATGGCCCTATTCTGTCACCTATGCCCCGACCAGGCCACTCTGCCCAGCCTCTCTTCCTGCTATGAACCCCCATTTGGACCCACCCCTGTCCCCAACTCACATCAGCATCGTCTGAGTGGCTACTCTGTGCCAGGGGCCCAGGGCAAGCAGGCCTCACCAGCTTCCCTCGTCCTGAGCCATCCCTCTCCCCGCCCCTGTGACCTCCAGTTTTCTTGGACATACATCCCCCTCCCCGAGCATCAAGCCTTCTGATGCTAGCCTGGCATCCTGCTGCTGCTGGAAAGCCCCCCTAAGGGCTAGACGTCATCCTCATTGCTATGGGAGCCTCGTGACTCTGAGCCTGGTGTGAAGTCGAGGTCCTGGGGCAGCAGACCCTTCCTTGGTTTGGAGGAGAAGCTGCTGAGCTCAGGAGGCAGTAAGGCAGGAGCAGCTGGCAGAGCTGAGGTGCCCAGAGGGAGGAGAGGCAAGACTGGTGGAGAGGCTGCCGCCTGGAAGCCTGGAGCCTGGCTGGCTGAGGCGATGGGGAGAGGTCCACGCATTCACAGCGCCCCGGAACCTGAGGCCCTGAGGGACAAGGCAGCCGTGGAAACCCAGGGCTCATGTGCCCTCATCATCCCAGGGCTGCTGCAGATAACCTGGCCCTCGTGGACAGCCTCCATCCGGTGCAGGGGGAGAGCTGACACCCCTGCAGCTTGCAGCTGGCTAAGGGCGAGCCTGTACATTTATTTAACTTTTAGTAAAGCAAATGAGGAACGTAGCAGAAACTTCTTGTGTGTCCACACATTGCCCAGAGTGGGATGGGTAGGCAGAGGGGAGCAGAGGGACCCGGGGGCTTGAGTCTAGCACACACACTCTCACAGCCCACCTGTCTTTCTTGCTCTGCTGAATCTCCAAGGCAAGGTGATGAAGCCAGAACTTTACCTTCACCTTGAACTTCTGCTCCTTCCTGCAGAATACTCTGGTCCATGAATCCCAATCCACAAGGGCTGTGACACTTCATTGAAGCTGGGGTGCAGGAACACTCCTTGGGATGTAGGCAGGAAGACCCCACCCATGTGATGCTTACTTAAAATGGCTCATTAAGATTTAGCACTGACAGGGAGGCAGCACCCAAATCACTCTGTTGCATGCTAGGTCCCTTGACAATTTATTTTCCATAATCTGGTTGGCTCAGAGACATGATCTTGTGTGGTGTATTCACCCATGTGGAGAAAGGGGATTCTGGAAAACCAGGGGAGGGGGAAATCTCTCTCCTTCTTTTTCAGGCAATGTTATATCAAGTCTGTGTTGCTTGGCAGGAGAAGCACAAAACTCGTTCCAGGCCTCTGCATCTCGGGGTCCCCCTCCCTTGTCTTCTTCAGATCATCTCCCACACCAGGTGGAGGAGGTGGAGGAGAAGGAAAAGGTCTCCCCTGACTTGCTCTCCTCAGACAGGACTGGGGAGGTGGAAGCTCTACAACTTGGCCATCAGCTTGGGTAACTGGAGGCTCCTCTTGCTTCCCGAGGCCATGGAATGCTCTGGTACCACAGGCCGGCTCCAGCCCCAGCCCCAGTGGGAGCCCGGAAGGGCAGGGCTCAGCTCAGGCTTCTGGCCCTACAGCTACGCCTTTGCCCTGGCCCTGGGGCAAGCCCCAGTCATGGGCAGAGTCTGGACTTACCAGCCAAGTCCTTGAACTGGGAGAGGGAGGCAGGGCGTGGAAATATCTTGTCCCCAGTGGGCGCCCCTAGTCGGGCTGGGCTCAGTTTGCAGGCACAGCTGTTGCACTCCTTGCTGGCGGGAATGGGGAGGCCTCACTGGCCCTCTTTGCCTTTTTCTTCCTTTTCTTCTTTTTGGTTCCAAGTGGCACCTGGTCTCCGTTGAGCTCAGCGGACTCCTGTTCCTGCTTCCTGACGGCGGCCTTGCTTGTGGTGGTGGTGGCGGTGACGATGTCGGTGCTGGCCTCCTTCTTGGCTTTCTTTTTCAACTTCTTTTTCTTCTTCTTTGCCTTTTCCTCCACGTTGACAGGGCTATGGATGGCAGACTCCTGCAGAATGTCGGAGGCTGACACAGCCGCCTCCCGGCACCGCTGCAACTCCTCGCCGCCATCGTCACTGCTGCAAGGGGAGGGCAGGCCGGGTCAGCTGGAGTCGGGATGGGGCCCCAAGGCTGTCTCTTGCTGCCTCAGTCAAAGCCACCAGAAAGGCCACAGAGAGGGCAGCAGTCAGAGAGCTCAGTAAGCAGACCTGGGTTCCAGTACTGGCTTCTCTGTTTCCCAGCTGTGTGGCCTCATTAAGTGACTTAACCTCTCTGATCCTCAGTGTCTTCATCTATAAAATGAGGATCTTAACAGAGCCCAGGGCTCCCAGGGATATCCCGGGAGTGAGGTGTCTGGCACAAGATGGGTGCTCAAGAAGCAGCAAACATCCAAAGCCAACTCCCAGCGGAAACTCTTCCCCTCCCACTGATGCACTATTTCTCCAGCTGCCTGACCGGGTCCTTCTGGACCTGACCAGAGTCGGCTAGACTATTCGGGGGAGGCAGGCGGTGGGGTGCAGAACTGGCCAATTCAGAACACAGACCAAAGCGAGGGCACTTGAGAAGAGGGTGTGCCGTCTCACCTGGAGCTGGAAGGCAACCGTTTCCGTTGGGGCTGGGGGGTGGCCTCCTTCTCAGAGCCTCCGGGGATGGATGTGAAGAAGAGCCGGAAGCCTGAAATCCAAAGGGGCGGAGTCAGCATCCCAGGGGCCCCCTCCCCGGGTGCCGAGGCTGCCCTGCCTCAGCTGCCCTGCCTCTGCCCTCAAGGAGCTCCCAGTCCACAGGGAATGGTGCCTCACAGTATGAGGGGCACGCTTATTGCCTGCTGGAGCGAGAGGAGGGGGTGCTTGAGAGGAGGCCAGCTGCCAAATCAGCTCAGCACACCCTCTAAGGCTTCCGGAAGGCAGCAGTTGAGCCTCCTGCCTCAGGCAGTTTCCCAAGTGGCAGATGACTCGGGCATGGGACAGAAACCCCTGCAGGACGTCTGTAGCATGCACTGGTGAGGCGCTCCTGCTCAGGGCCAGACAGACGAGGTCACCTCAGGCAAGTGCCTGCACTTGTTGGAGCCCCAGCCTCCCTCACAGCTCCCCCTGTAAACAGTGTCAGCACAATACCAGCCGCAGACAGGGGCTGCAGGGATGAAAGAAGGTAACATACAAAACTGTATTCCCGGCTCCAGACTCACAGCAGGTGCTTAATAGACGAGAGCTGTTATTAATAGTATAACTGCTCACCGTCATCCTCTGGGGCGACTCTCTGTACTTCAGCCTTTCTTGGCTCCTTCACTACTGAGATGGTAATGGAGCTAAGGGAAGAAGAAAGAGGAGATGGTTGATTTAGGATGTGATCTGGGGTGACAAGAAGAAAAAAACTTTAATTAAACCTTTTTTTTTTTAAGTGGAGGGGACAGGGTAATGTGATGTTAAGTGCAAAAGGAGAGAGCACACTGGCTCGATAAAGACGCTCATGCTTACAGCCCTTGCTAGCTCCCACTGCAGTGCCTCATTTGTTTAAACCCTACTTGATTCCAGAAAGTGCTGAAGAAGTTTTGAAAATATTCACAGTCCAACAGAAGAGTGCGATTTTAAATGAGGCAAAGAGAAAATAAGAGCACAAGGGACAGAATGAACCAGGAGTGTGGTCAGGAAGTCCCATACACTTGCTAGACAGAGGGCACACACTGCGTTCTGAGCTTCCTGGCAGCAAGCAGGAAGAAGGAAATATGACTAATCTAGAAAAAATGGTTCTGAGGTTAGTGCCTAGAGCAGGGCAAACCTGTTTTATTTGGTTTTTGTTTTTAATTTTCAAATTTTTAAAAAGCTTGAGAGAATTGCAGACTGACATGACGTGCAGTGCCAAGAAACAACACAGAGGAAGATCCCACATACTCGTCACCCAGTTTCTCCCTGTGATAATACTGGGCGTGACTAGCGTCCATCATCACAACCAGGAAACCGACTTTGCTACAATCCATGGACCTTTTTCAGACGTCAGACCTGGGTTTTGAATCCTGACTTTGTCACTTAACAAGGGACTTCATCTCTCTGAGTCTCTGTTACCCATCTGTACACTGGGAATGGTCACAGTCCCTGCCTCTTACAGCTGTCACAAGGATGAAATGAGATAGGGGATACGAGGCACTCAGCACAGAGCCTGGCTGTAAGCAGGTGCTCAGTAAACAGCAGCTATGACAAGGATGAAGACGATTACTGTCGTAGAAATAAAAAATGAGCTTCACAGGACCCCTCACATAAAACTGGAGATGATGCCAACCAAGTGCTGACTCTGACCTGAGCATCTAGCAGTGGTTCAAGGTTGGTCCGTAAGGGACATCAGGCTATGTCTAGAGATATATCTGGTTGTCACAAAAGATGAGGGGGAATGCCACTAGGGTCTAGTGGGTAGAGGCCAGGAATGCTGCTGACCATCCTGCAGCACACAGTATGGCCCCACAACCCAGAAAGCTCCAGTCCCAAATGTCCATAGTGCCAAGGCTGAGAAACCCTGATGTAACACAGGACCAACTGGAGCACCATTTCTTTAGAGAGAAATACAGAAATGCTGCAGGGAATATTCTGACCGTGTGTAACTAGCATCCTGCCGGATTTCTACCTGGGGAAACGGCCGATGTAGGTCACTGCAATGCCAGGTGGAGAAAAACCGCTCTCATGGGCTGAAATGCCAATTGTCCTTCCTCAACACGTTCAGCACACTCTCGGGTCAGGGGACGAGCACTAATGTGGGGTGCAGCCTGCTGAGGCCTGGCCCACCATTCTGTCTCAGAGGAGCAGCCACTGTGCACTCTGGGAGGCTCATTTGTCCTTTTAGATGGCTACTTCAAATTGAAAGACCTGGATGTCCTCATCTTCCTTTTAAATCCTGCTAGGCCTCTGTCCACCGGAGACAGGTCTAGACCAGCCTGTCCTGAAACGTGCCCCATGCCCCGCTATGGGTCCCCTGTAGAACAGAGGCACTGTGGCCACATGACTCTGGAAGACGCTGAGCTACACAAAGTCACACAGGTCTCTACAGCAGGGCTTCTCAGAGCCTTGACTATACTACAAGGAATCCAAATCTCCAGGGCACGGGGGGCACGCAGAGTGCAGCATTTCCCAGCCTCTTTGTTGCTAGACCCGTTCTGTCGAGAGCCACGCTCCAGACTCGCGTTCCTTGGCCCCCACTTTAGGAACGCTGGCCTGGATCTTTACAGATTGTGTTCTCTCAGTGCCTGGCATACACAAAGCACCCAAGAAGCAGTAATTTTGTCGGTCCCTTGCCCTCTTGCGGTGGGAAGGAACTTGCGCATCTCGGGCTCCCCTCTTACTCTGCTAGTGGCCGGGCGCAGTGGTTAAGAGCATGGCCTTCAGAGTCAAAGCCACTCTGCTCCTTCCTTCCTATGACTTCAAGCAAGTGCTTCTACTCAGAGGGGAGCCTCTATTTCTACATTTGGACAGACCCTATGTGGCAGGGTGATTATGAAAGCGGTGAGGTGACGGATGCCAGCCCACGGGAGCCATTACTGTGCGTATTGATTGAGGAGGGCGGGAGAAGAGAACAGAAGCTTCTGGTTACCTGTCCAGCAGGACTCCCAGCTGCTTAGCTACGTGGGCTCGGAATTCGGGGGTGGTCTGAAGCTCATTGCCATCTTGTTCGTGCTCATCCGCCTTGTGCCTACAACACACACAAAAAGGCTCACTTCCTGCAAGCTTAGAAGCTGTCCCCATGAGGGCAGGGACCATGTATGTCTGGTTTACTCTGACATCCCAGGGTCTCACCCAGCCTCAGCCACACAGCAGGGGAGCAACATCAGTGAACAAATACATGAAACCTGAACCCACAATGTATGGTACCTGAAGCTCGGCTGGGTGGTTGGCAACTGAGTATTTGCAGCACCTGTGGAAAAACAGAACACTGAGGCATTTATAGAGGAAATGACAGTAACAATTGTCAAGTGCTGTATTTTATGTGATTTACATGTGTAACTCACTGAATCTTCCTAACAACCTCATGGGGGAGGGGTCACAATTATCCCCATTTTGCAGAAGAGGAAACTGAGGCAAGGAGATGTAAAAGAGCTGAGCCAGAGTCAAACAGCTCATAAGTGGCAGAGTTGAGGACCCAGGCTGTCTGGCCCTAGAGCCCTGCTCTTAGCCACCATGTTGAACAGGCAAGTCTAAGGATCATTTGATTTCAGTATTTATTGAGTACTTAGTACGTACCTGGCTGTGTGCTGAGTGCTGTGGAGGAGAGAGAAGGGGACTCAGTTATGCTGATCACATTTTTCAAGCTAAGACACTGGGGATGCCTGGCCTGGTGGTCACCTGCTCAACCAAACACTGAAGGTCTAATATTACCCGGCTGGTGTTCCAGCTGCTGAACAACTTAGATGAAGATCCCAGCCCTCATGGAGCTGACATTCTAGTTGGTGGAAACAGATGACAAAAAACACACACAATTAAAACACAAAATTAGATAACAGGTACAGAGAAAACACACAAAGCAGGGGAGGGAGGTAAGGAGTGCTGGTTGGGGATCACTTTATAAAAGTGGGCAGACAGCTTCACTGACAGGTGACACGTGAGCAGAGATTGGAGACCATGGCTATCCAGAAGAGTCTTGCAGGTAGAGGGAAGAGCAGCTGCAAAGGCCCTGAGGCAGGGGCCTGTCTGGTGTGTTTCAGAACCAGCAATGAGGCCAGTGTGGCTGAAGCCCAGGGAGCGGGGGTAACAGCAGAAATGGAGAACTTGTAGGGGCCAGACCACATGATGACTTGGGCCTTGAGGGAGGTGAGGGGCCACTGGAAGGCTGCGCACTGAGGAGGGACACACATGCATTCAGGATTTTACAGAATCTCTGGGGCTGCTGTGAGGAGCCAGACTGTAGAGGGACAAGGGCGGAAGCAGGCGGAGGACTGCTGCAGTGACTGAGATGGTGAGACGTGGCAGGACTCGGGATGTGAGTATTTTGAAGATGGATCAATGGGATTTTGCTGATGGTCTAGACAGACAGTGTGAGAGATGAGTGAAAGATGGCTCTGAGCTTTGTGAATCCTGGGACAAAATGTGCTTGTGTTTTTAAGAGGCCAACTGAGCCAAATGGACACTTGGTAATTCGACCCAAAGCAGGGCCACAGCGCATCAAACACTCCAGGGGACACAGCTGACACTGTGGTCTGTGTCGCCGGCTCTGGAGCACAATGCAGGATGTGAAGTGCCCGATGCTCCTGGACTTGAGGAATTTGGAAGCCTGGGATACACGGTCTTTAAAGACCTGGTCCTTCTTCTTGAGTGATCACAGGAATAAGAGGATTTCTTCTGTCACGACCGCAGACCAGTGGATGTGAGGTTCTGTCACGGAACAGAAGCAGTCAGACCCGGCCCCAGATGACAGAGTTCAGCTGAGCCCTGGCTCCTCTACTGATGACCTTGAACAAGTCATGTTACCTCCCAAGCCTTTGTTTTTTCTAATCTATAAAATGGGGATAGATTACTGACCTTCCAGGGTGAGTCTGAGGACATAATGAAGTTTTATGTTGTTTCGGACACTCCGTTTGCATGTCCATTCTCTCCCTGGATTTGTAAGCTACTGGAGTACACGGTCTGCTTCTTTTTATCTTATCTCCAGCTCTCGGCATAGTGCCTTGGTGTGAAATATATGTTGCAAAAAGGAGTCAAAAGTGTACATTGCCCTAAAATTAAAGGGGTCTGAGGGTTTGGACGACCAGTTCCTCATCAGTGGATTAAAGAGCTCTACCTAGAGGTTACATTAGTAAAATAGTGACCCACATTTCCACATAGTCATGGACCAATGGGTGGGAGTTCTGCCCACAAGGGGCCCTTGTACGTGGCAGGGAGTCGCATGGCAGCAGCAAACAGCGTGGGTCTGGAGTCAGAGAGACCTGGATTTATGCCTGGTTTTGCCATTTACAAGCTGGATGACCTTGGCCATGTTATTTCATCTTTCTGAGCATCAGCTTTCTCATCTGTAAAATGGGGCTAACAGTTCCCTCTTTGCAGAATTGCTGGAAAAATTAAACCAGGCAACAAAGGCAAATGCTTAGAACAGGGCACATAGGGACGGGTCAACTCATGGTCGCTGTGATTATTAGAATTGCCCAAGAATGGCTATCAAGTGTCCATTATCTTGCCAGGCACACAGTAGGTGCTTGATAAATACCACCACTTATTATCAGCAGCTACAACTACTTTGATCAGCAGGCGATTTACGATGTCACAATACAATGAGCTGTAAAGCTGATACCACTTCTCGTGTTTATCTCCTCATGTGTTGGTCAAAGCTTGTTTGTGTTTGAGATTCACAACAGCCCATCTGCATTTTTTTTTCCTTTTTTTAAATGGAGGTACTGGGGATTGAATCCATGACCTCGCTCATGCTAAGCATGTGCTCTACCACTAAGCTATCTCTACCTGCATTTTATAGCTGAGGAAACTGTGGCTCCCAAACTTATGTTATTTGTCCCAGGCCAGTATCAGAGCTGGCACTTCATATCAAGTCTTCCTTCCACTGCCATACAGAATCCATTCTGTCAAGGCAGAAGCAACTGGACTGAGAGTATGGCTGGAGTCTCAGCCTTCTCGTTCGTTAGGGGTCCCTCTCCGGCAAGTTCATACACTTGAGAGCTGTTTTCCTGAGCACTGTGTAGGCTCTGGGGATACAGCGGTGAAGGGATCCCAGCCCTCATGAAGATCATATCCTGTAACCTCTCAGTCAATATATATTTGTGGAGCAAGGATGGGATGGAGTTGACTCTGGGTGCTAGGGATGCAGGGATGAAAGGAAAAAACACAAGATAAGTAAAAAGGCAACTGTAGAGAAAAGGAAAGCACTACAGATGAAAGGAATCACCCAAAGTATGACAATGGCAGAGAGAAGGCATGTACCCCAGCTTTTCCCAAAGAGATGGTATCTCGTCTGTATTAAAGGATGCATGGGAGTTAGGCAGGAGGGGGAAAGCAGTCTGTAAAGAGAGACCAACCACATCACTGCAGCCGTTTATTGGGCCTTGAATACGTGCCAAGCACTGCAGATGCCTCATCTCAGTTACTCCTCAACCTTATGGGGTGGGAACTATGTTAGGCTCACTTTACAGATGAGGAAATTTAGGTACAGTGAGATTTAAGTATCTGCCCAAATTCCTACCACTGGTGAGTGACAGAGACAGAAAGGCATTTCTGTATATAGAACCGGAAGAGAAAACTGCAGAGTTATGGGGCCCAGAGATGAGAGGGCATAGTACAGTTTGGAGCCTACCTGCAGGAAGTACAGTGCGGCAGAACAAGAAGGGAGAGGCAGGCAGGGAATGGATTACCAAAGGGCTCATAAGTCCTTTGAAACAAAAGCAGAGGTTCTTAAGCTTGCTTTACCATGATCTGCTCTGGCAGTCTAGAAGTCTTTCTCAGAATAATGTTTAGATGCATAAAATATAACAAAGAAAACCAATGATACTGAAATTCAGTTATCATTAACAGTAAAAAGCCAAATTTGGGATATTAATGTGTGCTTCTTCACCCATGCATTAAATAAGATCTACTAATGGGTTGAAAAATTACTGTAATTTTAAAGCAGGGATGAGTGTAAATGATTTTTTCCCAACATTTTATAGTGAGGAAAATGATATTTTTGATATATCTGCAAAGACTGTAACAGGTTATAAAAATGTGTGACTTTTGTTAAGACAAACTAACAGATGTTACCAAAACTCCTATGGCTTGCACCTCACATGCATAATGGAAAGAGACGCTAAATTTCAAATAAAGATTAACGAGAGTAAAGATGCAGCATTTTTCCCACTCCAAATTCATGGACCCTCCGGATTCTATCCATGACTCCTATGTTAAGGGAATTTGGATTTATTCCCAGGGCACAAGGGAGTCACGGTCAGAGACACGTGTAGGACCCAGGTCTCCGGCAGCCACAGGATGTGAGAATGTGTTGGAGGCTAGGAAAGCCTGAATCCAGGAAGGGGGCTGTAGCAGTCATTTTGGAGAGGGGGCGGGCTGCCCAGCGTGCGACAGTGAAGATGGACGTAAGGAAGCACAGTCAAGAGGCGCTCAGTTGCCTTGGTTACCCTGGGATAATGGAGCAACCCTCCCGGCTGCACTTGTCCGCGCTTTGAATCTGAACCCCTCCCAACCCTGGAGACTTCTCGGGGAAAGAAGTCGAATCCTGGTGATTCCCTCCTCACCATCCATCCTCTTAGGCCGCAGGGGAAGATCCTACGCCCTTCGGCCAGACTCCCTGAACACAGTCCCCTACCGGCTGTTGGCTTCACCGGCCCCCTCGGGCGCTGCTCCAAGCCCCAGGCCGGCATCGCCGCCTCGCGACATCGTTCCACCTCCTCCGCGTCGCTGCTGCTGCTGCTTTCCAAATCGCTCATGGTGCCATTGGGCGCCGCCACCTTGAACCACCGCAAAGGACTGTGGGGAGGGCCTCCACGACCCTACAAGAGAGCGGAGAAGCGCAAGGCATTGTGGGGATTGTAGTTCTCAGCCTCAGGCCGCCATTGGTCGCGGAAGGTCTTGGAGGTTTCCTCAAACGTGAGAGCTAGGAGGGCCTAAGAGATCGACTTAATCTCTTATTTAATGCATGATTTAATCTCTTCTTTAATGCATGGATGAAGACTCATACATAGTAATATCCCAAATGTGACTTTTTACTATTAATGACAACTGAATTTCAGTTTCATTAGTTTTCTTTGTAATCCTGTGTGTTATATTTTTATGCATCCTTTTCTTGATGAGGAAAATGAGACCTACCCAGGGGAAGGAATCGCCTAAGGTCACGCAAGGGGTTAATGACAGAGCCAGGATTGGTTTGCAGGTTTTGATCCAGGGCACTTTCAGTATTTCCATTTATTCCAGTAATTCCGAAATCCATCTGGGCATTGGAAGAACTTCAGGGAACTCATTAAAATGCACATTGTTGAGTCTCACTAAAACTAACCGAATCAGAGTCTCCAAGTGGTGGGACTCAGGAATCTGTATTTCCTCCAATATTCTAGGGCGTTGACTATTTGGTACAGTCTGTGAATCAGCAGCATTGGAAACTCATGGGAACTTGTTACAGATGCAGAATCTTGGCATCAGCCCAGAACTACTGAATCAGAACTTGCCTTTACACAAGACCTCCAGGTGATTTGTGTGCACATTAAAGTTTGAGAGGCACTCTCCTAGGTGATTCTGATGCACAGTTTGGTTTGGGAAACATTCTGCGGTTTTCTAACATCAAGACTTCACTCTGCCTGCACACGGGAAACGTCTGGGAAACTTTTAAATACTGACTCCTAAGATCCACCCAAGACCAACACATTAGAATCTCCACAATTAAGATACTCCACTGTGAAAGATGAACGAAATCACTTTTGTCTTCGTAATGCTTTTCTTTTCATTTTATATTTGAAGTTGTGTAAAAATCACTTTTAAAATAAACTCTCTGGCTTCAGCTTTTCTATTAAGAAAGAGAGGAAGGCGACTTATTCATCATTTTATGAAACAAGAATCGGCCCACTGTCTACAACGTGGGCTGTACTGGGTGTTATGAGGGATGCAAAGATGTGGGCTAGCCTGTCTACCCCAAGGAAAAGTGGCACTCTTTCTGCCCCGGAAGAGGTGGGAAACAGATTATTATTGATAAAGTGCCCAAAGACTATTGAGAACCAATTATGAAGTATCTTTTTTTTTTAACCATTATGGTGAGTAGTCCATTAGAAAACAGGGCAAAAGGGGAAGGGAAAAAAGGGAATTTTTATGGGTTGATTGGAGTAAACCTAATCACATGATGTCCTTTGACAATAAAGATGCTATTACTTTCCTTAAGTCCTTGGAGTCATTCGGTACTGTTTGTGTGTGTTTGTTTCAGGAATTGAGCGGATTTTTAACACTGCGTCATCCTCGCTCTCCCAGACTTTGCCTGTCTTCATCTCAGTTTCCCCACGGTCTTCACCTTCCAGAGTTGAGAGGCTCAAGTGACTAAACATTAACCCCTTAGGACAGCCTTAGCACCTGTGGAAAGAAATGAAGACCACCCAGAAGAGAATGAACAGAGGTTATTTATTTCCAAGTTGCAATAGCAAGGGAGTCAGCCACCATCACTTGTGTTTGGCAAAGACTCCAAGACAGTCAGGGCAATGGGGAAGCTTCGTACTGGGGAAAAGGGACGGCTTCAGGTATATCCTAATTGTGGTTGTTTGTATGGGGAAGCTGGAGGCGGGCTAACTAGAAGCAGGGCATCCTATGTGATTGGTTCGGGAGCATGTTTGGCTTTCTTTGGTTGGTCCTAAGTTGGAAGGGGGGAAATGGGAAGCTGGCAGTTATTGACCAAATCCTGATGGTTTGAGGTTGACTGATGCTGAGGTTGTGGTTTGGCTTCCTGGCTGGTGGCTGCTGAGGTGGTGGGTCAGAATTCTATCGTCAAATGCAGTCTTGCCATTGTCAGTTTGTGCATCTAGTCTCTCATATGCCTCCTCATTTGTTTACTGGCGAGGTAAGGGGAAGCTGGTGGGACCTGGATTACATGGCAGAAATGCACAGAGAGGTCTCCCAGAGGACACTATCTGGGTAGAAAGTGAGCCTCCCCAGCTTTCTTCTTGGAGAGGATAAGGGTGCTACTGTCTTGGAACCCACAGATCCCCAACCTCCACCAATCTTGCAGGACTTGGCCTTGGAACTCCAGCTGTTGCTCCTCTATGAACAGCCCCTCCTTCTGTTCAATCTGCTGCTTCAGATCCAGGATGAGGCTGTTGGGGTCAACAGCATAGGAGTGGCTCCAACCACTGGGATTCTCCACAAAGAGCTGGATCTCAGGAGGGACGGTCTCCAGCAGACAGATGCGGGTGTTGGAGAAGATCCCATAACTGGCCAAGGAGTCGCGGCTCCTGAGAAGCTGCCGCTCCCCGCTGGGCTCCTGGAAGGACAGACGCAGTACAGCCGAGGAGCCCAATGTCTCCTGGATCTCCTCTTTAACCTTCTTTATGGGCTCGTAAGGGTTCACCGTGAGAGTTAAATCAGGGTAACCCCACTGCTCCACTGTCACTTGGATGTCTCGTGTGCTCTGGAAGGGAGAGGAGAGAGACGGGTTAAGTCCACATCCCTGTCTGAGTGCAAAAGTTCCCTTCACCTGTCCTCATCGTTGCAACAACAGCAGCAGCAGCACACATTTAGGGGATGCCAACCCCTTTCCAGGCTCTGGGCTGGGCACCATTCATAGTCTTCTTAACACATTTTATTCTTGTGACGGCCCTGTGAGGTTGGTTCTACTATTAGCCCATTTTACAGATGAAGAAACCATGGTTGAGCAGGGTTAAGTTATTTACTAACAATTCCTATTACAAAAGGAGCAAGGAGCAGAGCAGGTTATCTGAACTGAGGTCAGTCAGACTCCAAAGTCTGTTCATCACCACCTGAGGCCACACTCAAGGGCCCGAGAGCCCCAGGTGGCTGAAGAACACCATCTGGAAGGTGCTGGGGGAGGGGGATGGTAGGCAGACCCCTAGCTGATCCGTTCAAGCTGATCCTTTTTTCTTTCAGGAAGGAAGAGGCCTAGCGTTGCCAACTCTTCTGATTTTTCAAGATGAAAATCTATGCATGAGGGTTTTTATATTCAGGAAAAATGCAAAGGGATATACTTTTTAGCCCATCTGTGGGCCTCCTCTGGCTGGTATGGCCCCAGTTTGTAATGTCTGTGCCTATCCTCTGAGTCTGCTTCTGCCTTCTGCTCCAAGTAGCTTAGTCTTTTGCACACTCCTCCAGTCCTTTGCCCTGACCCTCTACCTGGATGGAGGGCCCTTCATTCTGAGTCTACATCCCTCCCTGGCTTTTAGGGCCCACCTCAAGCCCTCACTTCAAGGAATCTTCCTTGGTGACTTCTGATGACATTTGTTTTTTGATTCCACAGCCCCACAAAGACCTGGATGTGAATCCTGGCTCTGCTGCTTCTTAGCAGTGTGACCTTGGTTAATCACCTTAATTTCTCTGAGCCTCAGTTTCCTCATCTGTAAAGTGGGGATAATAATGTTAAAGATAATGATAATAATAGTACTTGACCTTTCTATTTTGCAGAACTGTTGCTGGACAAGTGCTCTGCAAATTGTAAAGCACAATGTGATGAAAATAGATTATTACAATCTTTACTTGTACCATAGGTTTGGCATCACATTATAATATTATAATGGCATTTTTTTGTTTTCTGAGTGTCTTCCCTGGTGATTCTGATTTGCAGTTTCATACAGGTTTGTGTCATGGACTTGCTTCCTGACAAAATCTGGTGAGTTTCTTCAGGCAGGGGCCAGGCCTTATTTCTGTACCAGTGTTGCCCATTGGCCACCTCCCATCAGCCCAGTGCTGGCACAGAACAGCTGATTGAATTGACTTGTGTGGGCTCAACTTATGCAAAGAATGATTGACAGCAAAGAATCCCAATGATTCTTTGGAAAGTTACAGAAAGAAGAAAGAACAGGGAAACAAGAATTCGAAGATAAGGAATCTGAGGCTCAGAGAGTTGAATAATTTCCCCAAGTTCACAGAGCTGGTGGGTGGTGCAGCCAGGCCTCAAGCTGACACTCACGCCCTATTGGCTCCACTGACACCAAAGTAAATAAGTAAATACTATGTGGTTATCTCATTCTGAGCTTCAAGCCCCTGGCAGCCCAGAGAAGAGCCATTACCTTCACGTTCCAGCTGCAGACTCGGTCCTTGTTGTCACAGCAACAGTTTTGTTTCAGGCACTGTCTGGCCTTCTGAGCGACTGTTTCCCATTTGTAGCCTCTCGCCACATTGTGGGTGGGGTCAGCCGGATCCAGGATGATGGGCCTGCAATGCAGAGAGAGGGTGTGCAGGCTCGCTCTAGTTTGAGGGCCTGTAAGCCAGGAAGAAGCCTTCTTGGCAATCATCTACTCCAGCCTCTGTGCTTCTGCTATATCCAGAGCCCAGAGCAGTCAGTCCAGGAGGGCCCCCAAAACATCGCCAGAGAGTAACAGAACAGGGAGGATTCTATTTCCAAGAATTCCTCTTGGAGAGCGTACTGTAAGTGTTTGCAAGGAATTTTTGAGTTGTAGACCCTACTCAGGCAGGTGGGCCTCTTAAGTTCCGAGCTTTTGTTTTGCTGGGCAGGCTACGTAAGTGAGCTGAGGCTAGGGCTGCTGAACTGCTTTGGATGATAGTAATACCACCAGTGCCATTTACTGGGGGCTATTGAGGCACTGGGCCAAACTCTGAATGAACCTATTCTAATTCCTACAACAAGTCTGTAAGGAAGGAGCTATGGTGATGATGATGATGATGATGATTTCCCCCATTTTACAGATGAGGAAACTGAAGCACAAACCTCCTTAGGTTCTCCCAACCTGAAGATGGGACTTGTACCCATCTCTCCTGCCTCAACAGATGACAGGTTGGGCTGCCTCTAAGCATCTCTCCTCTAGGTAAATGAATAAATATTTCAAAGAATGTTGGCTTGAAGGAGGTCTAATAGCCGACTTGGGCTGCTCAGGGTGACCACATGTGTTGGATGTCAAACCCATGATCAAGACCCGGCCCTTGTACTCTGGGAGCTTTTGACTCAGGTGCGCATTGCTACCTTATCTATGTAACAGAATGTGACAGAAGGTTATTGCTGTGAACTGGACACTTTAGGCTCCATGCTCTCAACTCCCAACATTCCTGGCTTCCTGAAATGGTCCTGCCTAAAGGAGTCAGGGAGCAGTGCCAGGCTGTCCTATGGGGTAGGGTCACCTGACTCAAAGTGACCCACCAGGTGACCTGACGTGCAGGGCCAGTGCCCAGTGAACAGACTGGTTCCCTCTGGAATTTGGACCGGGGATGATGGGAGTCAACCTCATCAACTAAGAGTAAGAGGGGAGCAGGGCAGGTGTGGAGAGAGAGGCAGAGGCAGCGAGAGGAAAGGGACTGTGTGGCAAAAAGAGAGAGAGGGAGTCCATGCGTTTGCTCAGGTCCCAGTGGTTTTCCAAGGTCAATTTTCTGAGCATCCCTACAATAAGGCTTTTTATAAGAAGACCTGATTTTTCTTCCTTGTAAAAAACAGTCACATAACGGAACAGTAAACATTCTTGTGATACTGCTTGCTTCTAATATAAAGAGTTGTCTCTAGCTAGGTTCCCCCAGAAGCAGATCCCAGGATACGAATTTGAGTGCAGGTCATTTATTTGGAAGGAGATACCAGGAAGCACCAGTGAGGGACTGGCAAAGTGAGACAACACAAGGCATGAATCAAGGTGATTACCACTGTGAGCAACTGGGGGTTAGTCCCACTGGGTGGACTCTGGGAACCAGTATAGAATATGTGACCCAGAGAGAGTCTTTCCATCTGAGATGGGAGGGAGCTGGGGTGTTTACATGCCAACTTCCACCAGTCACTGGGGGAACTTGAAAAACCACAGACAAAGGGACGAAGGTGCTGACAGTTGGAGGTTGAACCAGTCTTTCTTGAAATGGTAAAGGCCCAGGGAGTATGAGTGGGCACTGGCAGCGTGTGCTATAATATTGAACATTTATCCGGCATCTCCCATAGTCTGGATACCGTAGGCCCTCTACATATATTTCCTCTAGCTCTCGCAACAGTAACTGATACCAGTCCCTCCTGTCTTGCAGGTGAGGAATGGAGGCTCACAGAGATGAGAAAATGGCAGAGCTGGGATTACACTTGAGTCTCCATGATTCTTTCCACTTTTCCACACTGTCACTAAAAAGCACTGAAATTATCTGAGGGCAAGAGGGCTAAAGTAGGGTGGAGTGGTGGCTTCAGGAACAAGGAAAAGGATTAGCCCCTAAGGCCCTGGTAATTTTGAAAGGCAGCCAAGTTGAGCTGTCATCCTTGTTGGGGAGAGATGTCAGCTTTCCTACTGAATAAAGCCCACCCATAAAACCTGATGCCACCTTTCCTTCAACTCTCTTTCTTTCCTCTTTGAGATGTGGTTGGCATGTGGTGATCTAGTACCTCTCATTTTTGAGCTCTTTTCTGACAAAATCCTCGATGATCGTGTTCTGGAATGTGTAGTACTTGGTCCAGAAGATACAGAGGGACTGATACTCCTTGAGCAGGCTCATCACAGTGACCAGGCCTCTGTCCAGTCTGAAATTCTCATTTTCCTGAGTACCCACTTCCCAGGCATAGATGGTCAGTAGCTCGAGGGCATAGAGAGGCGGCAGGTTGGCCCTGGGGCACAGAGCTTTCACGTACTGTTGAAAGACATGGAAAGAGAAGAGACCCCAAGATTCCTTGTAAAGATGACATTGGACCAGAAGCTGGAAAATCCAAATTCTTGTCCCAGCTCTGCTACCTACTTGGCCAAGTGACCTTCCCTCTCTGGCTCTAAATGGGTTTCTCTACTTTAGAATTTAAGTGACTGGGTTAGTCTAGTTGGTTTCAGACTGTGATAGATGTTACTCCTGGAATGGAGTGATGAAGAGGTGTCCCAAAGAGTGAGCAGGTTGGGGTCTGCCATCAGCACCCCAGACTAAGCAGCTCCATTTAAATTTATTTGGGTTTCTGAAAGGTTTCCTTTAAAGAAAAGTCTTCTTAGCCAAAAAGACAAAAAATAGTGTGTGTGTTGGGGGACTACAGGACTAGGTAGTAGCTGAGAATCTATGGTGAGCATCAGGGTTGCCTCTCTAACAGGTGTTTCTTCCTTCTCCATTGTATAGTAGTCTTGCTGTTTGAATGGGATTGATCTGCCCCTCATCTCCAGGGCTGGCCTTAACTGGACAGGATCATCAGTACAAACCTATTCCCCTTGCCAAGTGATTGGTTCAAGAGAAGCCTTGTGATCTAAGTTGGCTCAATTTGAGTCAAGCCTAATTCTTTTGTTCAGTGGTTGAAGGAAGAAAAGTCCCCTCTTGTATGTGGATGTGAGGGCAGGAACAGATGTGGCCATTTTGCCACCATGAGGGAAACCAGCCTGAGCACCAAGGTGATGTAAGAATTGAGAGAAGCTGAGAGTACTATAAACAGAGCTGGAGTCTTCACCAAACAGCATCTGAAGTCCCCTCTTCACTGTTGTGGGTTTTCACACATGAGCTGATAATTCTCTTTGTTATGCCAGTATGAGTTGGTTTTTCTGTTTTTTTCTTTTCTTTTCTTTTTTTTTTTGGTGTGTGTTAATTGCAGAAGAAAGCATCTTAACTGATATCAGTCACTTCCTGCCTAGAAACCTCTCTAACATTGAGCTAGGAAATGAAAATTTCTGTCAAACTTCCAGCTATTTGGTTTGTGGAAGCAAAACTGACATCTTGTCCACTGGCCATTACAAATAAGTATTGTATCACACCCCACAGTCAAAGGGACAAAACCCCACTTTGACCTTGAAACAAACAGAACAGGGTCATCTTGTCTAGTTCTAGCCCCCCAAATAAATGAAACCTCACCCCTTGCCTGTAAGTTATTGACTCACTAACAAAAACAACTTTATCTTTGACTTTAAAAATCTTTTAAATGAAATTCAAATGTATTTATAAATTAATTTGTTTTTGTAACATTTTGTGAGTTCACACCTAACAAACCTGTAAATCTTCACTAATAAAATAATTTTTTAAAAGAATTTAAACTCATGACAATACAATTCAAATACTGGTGAGATTTTACTAATGAGATTCTTAAAACTTAGATGATAAAGAAAATGCAGAATGCCTATAATCATAAGATATAAGCCTTAGGAAAAATGAGCCACTCATTCCTTCTAGGATCTTAAATAGACTATTTAATGGTCCATTAAGAACAAAAGAAGAAAGGATTTCTGTTCCCTTCCAGTGCTGATGTTCAGTAATGCTCTGATTTCTTCATGTTTTGGATTTCTCTGACTCTTGTGAAGTTACAGTGTGTCATGACCTTTCCAGATATAAGCATGTGAGAAAAATCACTATTTTCCCCAGCATCAACAGAGATGCTCTAAAGCCAGTAATCTTGGTGATCATTTTTTCTTTAAACACCTATTGTATTTGTTTAATTGAATCAAGACTTTCCTTCTGCAGCCTGATTCCCTGGCAACTTCTCTGATTTAATATATGATTTTTATCTTAGTTTCTTTTTGCAGTTGGAGGTCCCACTGAGACGGTTTCAGAGGACTTATTTCCAAAGCTGAGGAAACCACATTGCCTGAGAAATGCACCCCATGGGCTGTTTAGATTCAAAGGTGCCCCACCGTTTCAACTTGGAGGGTGACAACCACAGCTTTTACTCTTCTGACTTGCTCTACTCCCTCCCCACCTCTGCTCTGGTTTTCTTTCTGATTCTAGATGAAATCTGATTCTTGGTCAAGTCTGATTCTGGTTCTTGTACTTAATTGTGTTGGGCCACTTATGTCCCTGTTGATGACTACAACCTGGGACTCTGGTTTGATGGTTTGATCATCTGGTGGCCTCTGCTCGGAGACAGATGGTAGGAATTGACTCTCTGCTGGGAAGACAGTTACTATCATGGGAATCAAGATGGTGGTTATCCACAGAAGGGAGAGAGTTTTGACTCCAGCATAGCAGTGGGGGACACTGGGGAGGGGAGGAAAGATGACTGCAGTGCTCTGTTTCTTGACCTGGGTAGAGTGATTAGACATCTAACGCCTTTATTCATTTGATTGTACTTGTATTTTTTTTTAATCAATCTCTGCTGGGTGGCAGTTAATGAGAATTTGTATTTTTGTGTTTCTCTCTCTCTCTTTCGGTCTGTTTGTCTTGAGAATTCAGATATCTCCTGGGAGCTCCATTATTGTTGTCTTTCATGCCATTACAAATTTAAATCACTCAAAAATTGGTGTGTGTGTGTGTGTGTGTGTCTGTGTATGTGTGTTCACGACTCCTGAAAAACAGCCCTATAAAATTAGGAGCTGATGGACTATTAGATATTATGCTGTGTTTATTTTGGACCCATAATTAAAGTAGTAAAACCAAAGCTGTCAGTTCCTTTTGTCTTTGTGTACATAAGTGAAAAAAGCATTTCACAAAAGAGTGGTCTCATTACGATATACTATATCTGCAGAAAGACCTCTTCCTCACAACTCCACTATAGGAAATTAATGGAGTGTAATAAATTTGTAGATAAAGATTCATATGGCTGCCAAAGGGACTTTTGAATTTACCAGAATGTTTTAGTTCAGAAGTAGGTGACTTGGGGTGGGGAGGGTCTATAGCTCATTGGTAGAGTGTGTGCTTAGCATGCTCAAACCTGAGTTCAATCCCCAGTACCTCCATTAAAATCAGTAAACAAAAACCTAATTACCTCTCCCTCCAAAGAAAAATCATACACACAAAACAAAAAACAAGTCTATAAAATAAGTTAGTTTTAAAAAAGGGAGATGAATTCATAAAAGCAGATTGCTTAACAAAATGAGAATTAATCACCCAGGTTAATGCTCTATTTTTAATGGCTATAGGAGAAGAAGAAAAAACCCTTTGTTTCTGCTGAATCTCCTACCATCAATATACAGCTATCCATGTACAAGCTAAGATACATTCTTTAGATGATAGATCATTCTACCTGACACCTCAGAATCTGAAAATCCCCATACAAATTCCTAGTATAGATCATGAAGTAACAAATCCTCAGGAAAACAAATATAATTATTCTGTAAAATAATAGCATATCTAAGTTGGTTTTGCTTACAAAACTATTTAGAATGATGGTTGAATATTCACAAAGTGTCTTTATATTAAGATCCTTTTCAGGACTATGTAGTGTTGACCTACGTTCAGAAAAATTTGTCCTCCTTCCTACTAGGACATGATTAGATAAATCAATACATCTAATTTATAAGTAAATTTGTATTCATGTCAGAAATCTCAATTAGGTATTGCTAATCTCACGATTAAGAATCAGACACCAAAGGACAAATAGTGCATGACTCCACCTATAAGAGGTACCTAGAGTAGCCAAATTCATAGAGACAGAAAATATAACAGACATTATCATGGCCAGGGGGAGGATAGAAAGAGGAGTTTCTGTTTGGGATGATAAAAAAAAATTCTGGAAATAGATAGTGGTGATATTTATACAACATTGTGAATGCAATTAATGCCACTAAATTGTACACTTAAAATGACAAAACAAATTAACAAAAAAAAACCAAAGTCTCATCTTGTTCCCAGAATGGCATTAAATTAACTACTTCAAAAGATTGAAAATAAACATCAGTTTGTTGATAAATAAAAAACAAACCAAAACCCAAACCCAAAAACAAAAAAATCAAGGACAACTCTTTTGATGTGGAAATGATTCTTATAAAGTCTCTCTTGGAAACTGTTACTGTTGCAAAGCTTTTGAAAGCCCAGCACTGCAGACAGTCAAAAGAACACTTTTTTTGGTAGGTCACAAGCATGAATAAACTTGGGCATTTCTGAAATCAGTGATATCCGCTTACAGGTAAGATTTGGCAGATAGAACCCAGAGATGCTAACTTACATGTTCCTTGGTCCCTGACCCCAGCAGATGAATTGGTAAGAACCATGAAATACTTTTGAACCATGAAGGTAAATGACAACTCCTAGGACGTTATGAAGTCTGCAGCCAAAAATGAACTAGTAACCTTTTTAACATCAGAGGACTCTAGTTTTGTTTAACATGCATAATATAAACTCTTTGTGTCCTTGTGTATTGATTAACACATCTTGTAACACCTAGCTAAATAAAACTCACATAAAAGAAAACGTCAAATTAATAATAGTGAATCAAAAAACTGTTTCACAAAACCATATGTAGTCAAATTCTTGTCTTAGAAGCAAAGATTTGAACAAAGGAAGAGCTATAGAAGTAAAACTGGTGTGTTGTTCTGTGGACATTAGCATAAATGTGCATATTATATGTACCCTTAGTCAAACAAACAAGCAAAGCACCCCATCATTTTGTTGAGTTCTCATTTTCCAAATCCAGCAGAACCTAGGGTCGTTTGCTGTTATGTGCCTGACCAAAGAAACCAATTTCATTCTTGGCTTTGGTGATGCTAATTTTTGAAGATACATCACAACCTTGGTTGAGGCGATAATCATGTGAGGAAACTGCTGTTTTTCTATCATGAACGTACTAACTGTAAACTAACTTTGGTAATTTTCTGATTTTTATCTTTAAATACTTTTTTTTCTTTTTTAATCAAGCCAGTCTTTCTAAAATCCAACTCATCATTTTTTAAAATAAGAAAGCGTCTCTTTTCTTTTCTTTTCTTTTTTTGTCTGTTTCTGAGTCTTCCTTTCACAAGTCCAGATGACTCTGTCCATCTGGGTATTTTGAAATACACTTGGCAGACACTATGCAGATCTCAAATATAAAAATCCAAAAAGAAGCTGTTGTCTGAATGTGCTCACTCAGTAAGGGTCAGGAGACAGGATGCTACTCCAATCATTTGGAAGGGGGAATAGGTGCAGGATGGACTTAAATGAATCTTTCCTCTTGTTAGTTCTGACTCAGCTGAGATTAACATCCAGAGAACCCAGAGAAGCTAACATTAGCCAGCACTGGACTGTAGCCGGACCATTACAAGGACTGTTTGTTGAAATACTGTACGCTCCTTATTTTTCTCCTTCCTTCTCTGTTTCTGTCTCCTCTCCCTCTTCTTATCCTCCTTCATTTCCATCTTCTTCCCATATTTCACTGAACATTTCAAATGACTAGCATTCTCTCCCACCCCACCTCCATCGCCCCTGGGTGCTGTTTGCTGAGATGACAGACATCACTCCTGCCTTTTCTTACCCTCCCTCCTCCATCTTCCCCTCCTGCCCTCATCCTAGTAGCCGCCTCACCTCCAGGTACCAGTGTTTTACCAGCCGCAGGAGGCTCTTTAGCTTTGCTGGCCGGTGTTTGATGAAGATTTTCTGCAGCTCACTGAAGGATGGGGAGAAATTTCCAGGGACATTGCAGGCCTTAATCAGACTCACATAGACCTCTGGCGGGGGCTGATATTTGGGATGACAAGGCTCTGAGGAGAGAGGAGGCAAAAGGGAGAGAGTAAGGGCTTAGGAAGCCCCAGGTTGATGAGTTAGCTGGTGGGGGAGAGCCTAATTCACTGGAGTTTCTCTCCAGGGGAGCCTGGGACCACATAGCCTAAGAGACTAAAGGTTTCCCTTCTCGATTGTCCTTTTAGGGAGAATCAAAAGTGGGTTTTCTATTCGTCAGGCAACTCAAGGACTGTCCTCTTTTCTTGCTGTGCCCAACACCCTCAGTTTCCCTTAATGTTTGTTTTGGATCGCGCTCTCTCAGTGATTTGGAACCTCCAGCATCACAGGGGAGAACCAGTTCCAGATAAGAGAGCTGGGCTGGGAGATAGCCCATGTGCTCAAAGGTGGGCAGGTGTCACTACCGCTAACGGCTCCCGCTCCCTCAGCCAACGGCTGCGAAGCTGGTGGGCGGAACATTCCGACATCCCACGTGGGACACGGTCGGTTGAGCGGTGCTCCGTACTTTGACCGCAGTTCTCCAGGGCCACAAGCCCAGGAGCTGACCACGCTGACTTTTTCGGTGTGCACCTTACAATGCTCCTTCCCTGCCGTCTCACTGCCTGACTCCGCTGACAGCGTTGGCTGGGCCTGCTTAGCCTCAGACCCGGGTCTCAGGGTCGGCCTGCGGGAGAGCCCGGGCCGTGCCCCGCCCCCTTGCCCCGGGAACGCTCCGGGAGCAGCCGGGGCTGCGCTTACTCCTTTCCCTCCCTGGGTCTCACCTCCTCTCCAAGCATATATTTAAGTGCGTGATTCTTTGATACCTCTGTTTCCCAAGTTGAGCCACGGGACAGCCACAGTTGGGTCAGTCCCAGGCACTGCGGGGGGCACAGCGCCCAGCGCAGGACATGGGCTGAACGCGTGAATGCGGGTGTCTGCACGTGGCCATGACCGGGAGCTGAGGGAGCTGAGGGTCCTGCAGGGAGGGCGGGAATGTGAGTCGGGTGGGTTCCCCTCCGCTTACTCAGCGCCCCGAAGGCAGGCACGAGGGTGACGGTGATGGGCTCTCCAGTCTCCCTGGTCTGCACGGTGAAGGAGACAACTTCACAGGGGTTTCCCCGGACCAGCCTGAGGTCCTGGAGCTGGAGGGCCAGCAGGTCCTGGCAATACAGCAGCTTTTCATAAATCAGGTTCAGAATGCGCTGGTGGTGCTTGGCCTCCTCCTGGAAGCTGCGGAAACAGCTCAGGAACACCACCAGCTCCACCTCCGTGGTGTTTCTGAGCACGGTGCCATTCCCGAAGGAGCCCACCTGCGGAACAAAGAGTCCCATCACCCCAAGGCCTCTACCTGGACCAGGCAATCCCTGAGGCTCTCTACCCGGACGAATTATCCTGTTTAATGCCCACCACCGCCCTCAGGGATGGGTGGTTACTGCTAACATCCCTCTTCAAAGAGGAGAAAACAAGAGATCTCTAGAGGACAAGCAGCTTGTCCAGGGTCACACAGGGGTGGTCTGAACCCAAGTAGGCTGACTCCACAGCCTATATTTTCCTCTTTTGAGGGGGGCAGTAAGTAGGTTTATTTGTTTTTTTTAAATTGAGGTACTGGGGATTGAACCTAGGACCAATCTACTACTGAGCTATACTCTCCCCTCCCCTGCTTTTAAAAAAGAAAATTGAATTGAAATCAGTCAGTTTACAATGTTGTGTTAATTTCTGGTGTACAGTATAATGATTCATTTATACATATATATTCCTTTTCATATTCTTTTTCATTATAGGCCATTACAAGGTATTAAATATAGTTCCCTGTGCTATACAGTAGGGCCTTGTTGTTCATCTATGTTTATATATAGTAGTTAGTATCTACAAATCCTGAACTCCCAGTCTATCTCTTCCCACTCCCTTTCCCCTCTGGGAACCAAGAATTTGATCCTATGTCTTTGAGTCTGTCTCTGTTTTGTAAATACGTTCATCTTTTTCTTTCTTTTTTTTTTAAGATTCCAAATATAAATGATATCATATGGTATTTTTCTTTCTGTTTCTGACTTACCACAGCCAGGTTTCTTATTCCCTACCCTGCTCTGCTTCTGAGACTCCACCTTATTTGAGGAGTGATCCCTTTCTGAGCGAACAGACTTGTCTACTCCACAGAGTGGTTTGAGGATCCTGGGGTGTGGGAAGTGAGGGGTCTGAGCAATTTTATGACATTAAATAGCGGGGCCACAGGATTGCCTGATGGATAACAGCCATGGGCTGGGGAATGGGGCAGCCCGATTTTGACCTCGCCTCTGGCACCTGTTTCTCAGCTGTGGGATCCTTCTGTAACGTGAAATGATGGAGTGTGAGTCACCAGGTTATTGGGAGGATTAGAAAAGATCGTGGTGCCCAGCCCTCAGAAAGTCAGCAATACATCTCTCTTCCTGCTCTTCATCTTGCTGACTTAGATCAGCTCTTCTGCTGCCTGGGATTCAACTTTCCCATCTGAACAGAAGGAGCCTGAGCTGGATGATTTTTTAAGGGATCCTTTTCATGCTCTGAGATTCTAGACTTGCTCTCCAAACCTGTTTCCTCTAATATACAAAGCCCTCCAACTCTCTGTCCTTCTCTCTTTCTCACTCCAGGTCGGGAGGTGAAATTTTCCAGGGATACATCAGACCTCAGGTTGGCTTCCTCTGCTGGTGGGTGGAGTTGATCCTAACCCAGCTGTCAGCAGCTGAGCCCTCACTGTCTGGCACTACTGAAAGCCCTTTATACATCCGATATCTTTTACCCTCATCCCCACTGATTGAGGTGGGGGAACTAGTATCATTATCCTCCTGGTACAGATAAGAAAAGGGAGGAAGTTGGGGGTTAACCATCTTGCCATGGACTCATAGCCAGGACTCATAGCCACGGTCAGATAGAGGGTCAGAGCACACGGTGTGGTTTCTCTACTTCTTTCTTCCCTGTGACACAAGCCTACGTGCCAGACCCCGCTTCTGTGGAGGAGGAGTCTGCCATCTTTTTTTTTCCCTCTTCGTTTTCCATTTTCTTTCTCCAATTGCATCCAGACTCAGGGTTTCCACCCTATGTGAGAGGGCCGGGGACGGCACCCTGTGTGTGGATGAAGGGCACATCCCCCTTGAAGGCTGTTCCTAGGCTGCCCTCCTTGCCTTTCCCTGTACTAAGTAAGATACAGGCAGAGAGAGAAGGGTATTCTAGCATAGGCTTCATGAGTTGCTTCAGTTAGAATCTAAACTATTTAAAGACAAGCACGCACTCATGTGGACCAGCACAGCTCACCAGATTTTCAGGGGTTGAGGGGAGGGTTTAGAGCCCAAATAAAATGTTAACTTCTCATTGACCATTGCTTTTTGGGTGTCTCTATTACCGATTGGTTTCAAGGATGAAGAAATGGCTGTGGTCTGCAGTCAGGATCTGAGGGATGGGTAAATACCACTTCCTGCCTTCAAACCTCATATTGTTTGAGGTATCCTCTCATCCCCAGACATCCCCCACTCCAACCCCATTATTCTCAGGGTTTTCATGGGGGTGGTCTGGGAGGGTCTACATGAGTCACACTGATGTCCCAGGCCCAGAAGAAAGTTCGAACAAGAACTTATATCGATGTTTTTGTTTTTGAGCATTGACTAATCTTGTAGCCTGCATCACCCCATTTACTTGATGAGAGACAGATGATGAAGGTGATGACAGTGTCACCCCAATTACAGATGAGAAGACTAAGGGTTTGAGAGAAAAGATCGTAAATCTAAGGTCACACAGCTGTAAGAGAAGATGCCAAGAGTCAAACCCACTTCTGATGTCAAAATGTATGGTTTCTCACTTAAATTGTATGGCTTCAGGATCCAGGTGCTAAGGATAAGAGTAAAGAAGTGATTTGGCCCTGAAGCTTCAAGGCAGAACTAGAGCATTGAGCTGGGAATCAGGAGTCCTAATGAGAGTCTTGCCTTTGTCCCCAGCTCGCTGTGTGAACTTGGGAAGTCGCTCACCCTCTCTGTGCCTCTGTTTCCTTAGTGTTTACGTGCAGGATTGGCCAAGATAGTCTGTCTCCAGGGCCTTTTGTGTTGGGAAACTGGAGCTGGTGATTGAATTAAGAATATGTTGGTGGGAGGGTATAGCTAGTGTGTGTGCTTAGCATGCACAAGGTCCTGGGGTCAATCCCCGGTACCTTCATTAAAATAGAGAAATAATTAATCAGTAAAGAAACCTAATTACTGCATCCCCCCCAAAAAGGGGGGAAAAACCCCAAAAGAATATGTAGATTATGACCTGATGAATGAGGGGGCACAAGCCACCCACACAGTGTGGGCAGGTAGCTCCCTTAGCATCCAAACTCCCTCTGTGGGGAAATGAAACCTACCCAGTTGTTTGGATGGAAGGCCCAGTTTCAATACACCCATACAAGGAAAGTAGTCGTAAGATTGATTACTTACAGATCCCAAAGGTCAGGAGACGCAAGTGAGCCAGGGAAAGAGCAGTCCTCTGTCCCAGCCAGAAATGAGCCACAGAGCAGGGTAGAAGCACCTGTTACTTATAAGGTGGTTGGGGTGGAGGTTACCAGCTTTTCACAAGCTTAACTCTAAAGTGGTTATTTTAAAAGGTGCCCCAGGAAAGGCAAAGCAGGGACTTGCGGGGGCATCCTAAACTCAAGCCCTTATCTAAGTGTCCAGATTCTGGGTATGAGTTGGGTCATCATACTGTAAAATGCGAGGAAAGCAAAATTATTTTCCTTAAAAGTTGTTTTTCTCATCACACCTTTCTAATTGCTTGACCCTCTTGAATTATGATCCTAGCTAGGGGAGGTGACATGAAGCAGCTGGAGGAAGGACTTGGGGGAAAAAAATCTCCATGGAGGCAGCCTGGAGTGGAGTAAGATAGATCTTGGTTCAAATCCTAGCTTCACCACTAATTGTGTGACCTTGGGCAAGTTAACTTACCTCTCTGAGCTTTCAGTAAAGAAAAACTTTTCATTATCAAAAAATTTAAACATAGAAAAATAGAAAGCAAATACAATGAACACTTATAGCGCCAAACAGTCAGATTCAACAAGTCTAAATTTTTTGCTACACTTGTTTCAACGAAGCCACTTTAAAGTAAATACAGACACTAAGGAACTTAGTCCCTAAATACTTTAGCATTTGGGTCCAACAAAGAGAACATTTCCCCCCATAACCACAAAACTACTACACCTTAAAAAAAATTCCCTTATATATGTTATCTAATATTCAGGCCATATTGAAATTTCCCAGCTGTCCTCAAATTATATTTCACAGATGGTCCATTCACACTAAGATCCAATTAGAGACCTTGCATTGCATTTGGTTGTTACGAACCTTGTCGTCACTGAGTTTCCATTTTGCTCATCTGTAAAATGGGGAAAGAGTAATACATACCACACAGGGTACGCAAATTAGAGATAATACATGTTAAGGGGCTAGGCTAGTGCATCTAAAAAAGTGAACTATTATCATTGGCTTCCTTACTGGACTCATTCTGCTCAAGGCAGCAGTGCATTGGGGTGCCGGCAGCTAGGTGGAAGGTCTTGAGATGTCAGTGGCATGGGCTAGGGATAATGAGGCAAGAGGTCTGCCAGCATCCTCAGGGACGTGGACCCTCATGCTCGGTTGTGCGTGGCCCAGGGATGGAGGGCACCAGTCTCACCTTGATCACCTTCTGCACCCGCACCTCCTTGTCCAGGCTGCTCTTCCTCTGGAAGCAGTTCTTTCTCAGGGAATGCCCCACAGTCCTCACAACCTCCAGCACCTCCTTTTTCCACTCCTGACTGGGGTGCAGGCAGTGATGCACGAAGGCAGTCAGCTTGGAAGCAGGGGTGTCAAACAGCTCCTGTGGCAGTGCCATCTCTGTCCTGAGGGTACCAGTGTTGGAGATATATAGCCACACACCTACGCAGCTCGTGGCACACACCCTCTTCTTTAAGGGGGCTCCTCTTCAGCTGACCTCCGGCACCCTGTGGAATAAAGGACCAGAGTGCAGAGGACACCAGGGTGTCTGGCTGACCTGGGGCACCTCTTTTTGGAGAGCGTCCACTGCAGCAGGGGCACTGAAGGACACCGAGTTTAGCCTGGAAGGTCTGGGGCCACCTTAACAGGAGTGGCTTTCGCTCAGCCTTTCCACTGAAGGTTTCATTTCTAAAGTTTTAGTTTCCTTTTTATGATTTGGAAACTGAAACTGGCTTGAGTTTGGCCCCGGAAGAGGCAACTTCCCCAGCAGATGGGAGCTGGATGGTATCCGCAATCCAATCGCCCCACCTTGTCATACGATACAGGTCCCAAAGAGGAAGGACTTGCTCAAGGCTGGGCTGAACAGTGGGAATTCTAGGGTCACACAAAACGAGCTCTGGAATTCCAGTCTGCCTTTTACCAGACTCTTAAATTCTTTGATCCTTACATAATTAATCCTTAAAATAGGTTTAATAATAATAATCCTTATCCGAAAGGTTGCTGTGCAGATTATGCATGAGAACAGTTAGCAGAGAAAGTGTTAAGTAAGTGCAAGTATTATTATTCAGTCAATAAACATCTATTGAGTGCCCCCTGGGTGCCAGACACGATGCTAAGAAGACAAAAGAAGACGTGGTTCCTATCCCAAAGGGCTCCCAGAGCAGCCAAGAGACTCTGAGAATCCAGTGTCACCTGTGCTAGGTAGAAAAAAAGGCACAGAGACCTGGTGGAAATTCAGGCAGAAGAGTTTCCTTTGGGTCACCTGTGGTGTTAGTGGACACCTGCTTAAGATGAGTCTTAAAAGACTGGGGATGCAGCCAGGAGGCAGAGGGCACAGCAGAGGATAAGGCTGAGAAGGGTGTGGCCCAGGACTCAGCTGTCAGATCTGTCTTGGGGGAGGGGAAGGAGTGGGGAGGTGAGAGATCTACCTGGACTGGCCATTCACTCCTGAATCTGGGAGTGCTATTCACTCATTCATTCCCAGCACTTCCTCTAGCAGCAGAAGTGTAGAGAATCCTTTCAAGAAGTTTCATGAAAGGGAGGACAAAGACAGGGCGTGAGCTAGAGGAAGAGATAGGTTTATTGTTTTGAACACTATTTTGAAAAAAAACAAAGCTCAATCATGACACGTTTCAATTTGTTTTCAAACCGGCTAACCCCAGATGGAAAGAATCATCTTTTTAATGACAAATTCTGTAAGTCCCCCTGTTTCCTGTGTTTGGTCCTTAAATAGTCCCATATTATAAGAGTTTGAAGAGTAGTAGCAATTTCACAAATGTAGGTCAACAATAAAGTGAGACTCTAAACATTTGCCATGTGTTTATAATGACAAATAATGAAATTCAAGGCAATATAAAAGTTATTCCAACAATAAACATTCAGACCTTACATATTGGTTAAATTTTTTTAAGCATAATTGATTTACAATATTATATTGGTTTCAGGTGTCCAACTTAGTGATTCAATATTTTTATAGGTTATACTCGATTTAAAGTTATTAAAATATATTGGCTGTAATCCCTGTGCTGTACAATATATCTTTGTAGCTTATTTATTTTATACACAGTACCTCTTAATCCCTTATGCCTATCTTGCCCCTCCCCCTTCCTTTCCCCACTGGTAACTACCACCTTGTTCAAGAGACCTCACATATTAATTTGGATTCATCTTCATGAAATCTCTGGGAGTTCAGCAGCTTTCAAGATTTAAAAAGGGATCATGGAGTCGGCTGTATGCTGGCTTTATGGTTTGTCAAAATGCCACCCAGCTGAGTACATTTCTATGGGAGTGGCAGAAGAGCTAGTTGGTAGGGAGGGTGTGGACTAGGTTTTGGCAAGGAGGGAAATAAAGATGAGTGTTATCTGAGTGTGGGTTCTTCCAAATGCAGAGTCTGAGACAAGGATTTATATGAGACTTGTTTTGGGAAATGATCCCGTTGGACAGGGCTGGGGAATTGAGAAGGAGGGAAAAACCAATCCAAGAAATATTATGAAATTGATTACTACTGTGGGCAGCTGAGGTTTGATCCCACTGGGGACCCTCTGAGGAGCCAAGCAGAATGTGCCTCAAAATTATACACCAGAGAGGTGGAAGAGCAGTGGAAGAGGGGAGTATGCACTCACTGGTTCCTGTCTTTCCATTGGTCAAGGCTTGCCCCCTGGGGTGTTAACTCCCTGGAACATCCATGTCTGCTGTGCATCCTGATGGCTGAGTGGATGCCAACAGAGGCTCCTCTGGAGCAGCGGAGAATGCCCCGTAGAGAGCAGGGTCATTTTCTATGCTAAGTGGAGAGAGATTATCCAAGAAATTTTAAACAAGCTTCTCAAATTTTTCCCATTCCTGTATGCACCCCTCTGCAATGCTGACTTTGCAGTTCCTTTCTTCACGAGGTAGAGCCTATTTCTCCATCCCTTGAAGCAGGGCTTGGGAACGTGACTTGTTTTGACCAGTGAGACATCAGCAAACATGATGCAAGAAGAGGCTTATTTTGGGGCTTGCCCTTTCTCTTGCTACTTATACAACCCAGTAACCATTGAACCAGCCCACATTAGCCTGTTGGATAATGAAGAACAAGTAGTTAAGGCATTCCTGTTTTTCCAGTTGATATTGAGCCAATTGCCAGACATGTTAGTGAGGATGTTGTAGACCTTCAGCTTCGGGGGAGCCAGCTCAGAGCAGAAAAACTGCTTGGCTGATCCACAGAACCACAAGCAAATTAATGGGTTTTGGGGGATGGTTTGTTAGGTGGCATAAACTAACTGACACAACTTTTGGCATCATCTGGATTCTGAGAATCACCTGTGCCTGACATTAGCTACCCCTAGACTCTTATGGGCCATTACAGTCTACTTATTTTTGCTTAGACTAATTGGAATTGGGTCTCTACCACTTGCAACAAAAGGGGTCTTTGCTGATCCAAAACTGAATGGACTACATGGACAAATGGGCAGGAAAGATGAAGACATCAACTAATGAGTGACTTGTAGCCTTGATCGTGGGGTCTAGGCTGGTTAGAAAAGGAATTAAATCCATGGTGGAGAGGAAATGGAAGGGTGGGTAGTTCAAGGTCCTTCCTTCTCGAAACACTAGGGTTTCCTTCTCTGACTCTCTTCTTGGAACTGGGTCAAATTCATGGGTTGACTCCTGATCTCCCTCAGCAATGTTGAACCCATGTTACCTCATATCAGCCCGTTTCCTTCCAGGCACCCAGAGGTCCGCAGAGCTCTGAACACTCCCCCATTGAAAGGTACGAAAACTAGGGAGCCCGTTACCTGCTCATCTTCATCATTCATCTTGTATTCAGACAAGATGTAGCTCTGTTGGACTTGTGGCTCTTAGGAGCCTTCTCCATGAAGGAAAGCCATACCCAGTCTTAAAGCTTACTCAGGGGACAGGAGCTTTCACCCAAATTCTGCCAAATGCCTAATATCACAACATTTTTTTCCATCCTCTTTGCCAGATGTAAAGCAGGAGGGAGATAGCTCATGGGGACTCTGGACCCAACAGACAAATGAAGGTTGTCGAGGTTGAACATGCAAATTCATGCATGAAATACAAGTGAATGCCATTGTCATAACTTAGTCACATGGTCACAGGGGAGATTGGGAAATGTAGTCTTCAGACTCTGGCGATGTGCCTACCTAAAAACTCTGCTGCTGTGGAAGAAGAGGAGAAAAGAATGTGGGGAGGGAGGAGAGCAGTTGCTACTACAAAATCCATTCTCTGTTTTTGCCATTTTGGCCCCAGACCAGAGAGGATACAGCTCTAGAGAAATCCCTCTTCCTCTACCCTGGGATATGAAAGGTGAGCTTGGAGAGGGCAGGGGAAGGAGCCAATAACAGCTCCTTCCACCTGTAAAAAGTGGCGATAATAAGAATACCTACATCCTAGGGCTATAATGATGCTCCAATGAAATGACGGCTGAAAAGTACTCAGTTAATGCCCAGTACATAGTGAATGTTCAATAAATGTGAGCTGTTATTACAGTAGGGGAGATGAACCTCAAATCAGAATTGCTAATGATATGAGTATGAATAGCAAAAATCACAGGGTACACCATCCACCAGACGTGGCTAGAAATCTGAGTGTCCTTCCATTTCCTTGATTATTCCAGCGGATGTAACTTACACACGATGAAGTGCACAGACTTGAAGTGTAGTGGATACTGTTATGCGCCACCCAGATCCCCGCTTCAGGACTGAGACATTCACCTCCTCGGCTGGCGGGAGTGTTGCTGCTGACAACGCTCACTTGGGTCCCTGCTTGAGCATCACCCTCAGTTAAAGGGAGGCTGCTTTGTCCATGGTGATACCCTTTTTCCTGGGGCTGCTTGCATGTAATGACTGACTGGCATTAGGGGTTTAGAGGTCTGGTCCCTTGCTTCAGCTGAGCACAACTCAGAACGGCCATCACACAGCTCCAGTGCTCCTGTGGGTTGGCTGAAGTCTTTGCTGTGACTGTAACACACTTCAGCTTTTCTTTCTGCTCAGTCCCGTTTCTTTCACATCTTTTCCAGGTGTTGCTCCTGAGAATTACCCTCTAGTAAACTTCCTGTACGTACGTGTTCATCTCAGAATCTGTTTCTCTGGGAACTCGATCTAAGACACCTGGATGTATGGCTGGGTAGAGTTTATGCATTTGCATATGCCCCTGTAGCCACCACTCAGATCAAGATAAGAAACCACTTCTAGTATCTCAGCAGGGGCCCTTCAACTGCGTGCTTATCAGTAACCCGCTACTGAGAACGGAGAGACAGCTTTGATTTCCCTCTTTCCCTCCTGTCCCACATTCTAACCATCAGCCATAGGCCTTGAATTCATCTACTTCTTTTCACCTCCCAGCCTCCCCTGGCCCAACTCATTATCACCTCCCCCTGGACAACGCAATAAGCTTCTAAAGTGAGATTCCATTCGTTTCCCTGCCTTGAAACCCAATCGGTCAGTTTCAGACCATGTCAAGCTCTTTCCTCTCTCCAGGGAACGCACATTGGCAGATTTTTTTAAGCAGGTGAGGGTTATGTTCATATTTATGCTTCAGAAAGAGCACAGTAGCCTGGGGAGAAAGGGGTGGGCAGG